GGATTAACATCATTATACAATGACTTTAGAACTGTGTTAGGCGCAGAGTAAACTAATGGCATATTGATTCAGAGCAGATGGAATACTGGAATAAAATACTCATTCCAGAAATAACACAAATGCATATTGTAACTTAGTATAAGATACTTCTTCTCAAATTGATAAGGAAAGAATTAAATTTGGGAACAACTGTCAGTCACTTAAAAAGCAAATGAGAGAGCCATCCATGTTGCATTAAAACATTTTTGATGATCCAAAGGTTTTTTGAAGTTCTCTCTTATGCTTGAATTCCAATTTTTCTTTCATATCATGTACAGAGTTCTCTAACTCAATAATCTGTTTCTCTGTGTTTTTGAGTAATTCTGTGACCATTTTTTCCCCACTCATTTTCAAGTATTTCATCAATCTATTTGTTTTCATGTTCCAAAGCTGAAGAATTTTTGAGTTCTTTTTTGGGAGTCATAAGGCGTCCTCATTTTGCTTCTTGTATTTCTGCACTTATTTTTGTGCATTTCTGGCTGCACCTGTTGTTTTCCACCTGATGATTTTTATCTTTGAACCATGTCTCGTGGTGGGGTGGAGTGACTGCTTTTTTAGTGGATGTCTCAAGTTGTATGGCAGGTGTCTCTAGAGTGCTGTGGTCAGTGCCCTATTGTGGGTTGAGAATTCAGGGTGCCACCCCAGTTGGGTGTGTAGATCTCCTCTCAGCATGGGGGAGGCAATTACCATGACTGTTAGACTAATCACAGCACTGCTTCTTCTCTTTCAAGGTGATCAATACCCATCACTGAAATGTGGCTACGATCCCCCCCCACTTACGGCAGTGCATGAACCACACAAAAGACCTGTGACACCCAGCTACCCACCACATGCTATCATGCAGCCACAGAATTCCCATAGTTTTTGAGCACAAGAGTATCCACTCAGCCTGGGAGCCTGCCCTTATTACAGATAAAGCAGAGACATTCCGCGTACTAGCTACCTGTAAGTGCTCCACCTTGGTAGTTTGCGCAGCACTTAGAGTTGTAGAAGGGTGGGCATGTGTGCTTGCTTCAGGGACCCAGATGCACACACTACTCTATTGGGTTGCAATCACAGCTTTATCCCTTCGGCAGGATTACCTAACTGAGTGCTCCTGTGTAGAGTCAGGAATGAGCTACACCACAGCCACCATGACTTTTGTTGATCTTACTTTGGTTGTCTTTCCTTGCTAGTCTGAGTGCTTTATGGGGGAATAAAGAAGTGTGCTCTTCTCCCACAGGACCTACAGAATCCTTCTCCCAATTTGGCTCCAGACCAAGCCCAGAATCAGAGGGTCCATGGGATACTACAGCAGACAATGCCACAGTGACTAGCTGCCATGGCCTGTTCCCACCTTTCTCTCAAGATCTGCTGCCTTTTCCAATCCCTGATCTGACCAAATTTTAGAATTTTATGTTTATTTTGGAGGTGGGATATTTTTGATCGGTGGTGGTGTTGGTATACAGCACAAACCCTGAAATCATCCATGACGTTAAATAAAAAACAAAGCCTGTTTTGATTTGGTCACAGAATTGACTATTCAAATCAGGAGACATGAAAGGAGAAAGTAAGCTAGCGCTTCCAAGGATGAAGAACTGGGTTTTTTTTTTTAAAGATTTATTTTTATTATTTTTTTCATTGGAAAGGCGGATATACAGAGAGGAGAGACAGAGAGGAAGACCTTCCCTCCGATGATTCACTACTATGCCGATCCGAAGCCAGGAGCCTCTTCCGAGTCTCCCACGCGGGTGCAGGTTCCCAAAGCTTTCCCAGGCCACAGGCAGGGAGCTGGAAGGGAAGTGGGGCTGCCGGGATTAGAACCGGTGCCCATATGGGATCCCGGGCATGCAAGGCGAGGACCTTTAACCACTTGCGCCACCGCGCCGGGCCCAAGAACTGGGTTTTTAAAGGGGAGACAAGAACAGTGGGATGAGAGGAAAAAAAAACTTCTGTTGAACAATATATTTTCCTAAGACTTTATTTATTTGTGATAGAGACCGATAAAAATTTACCATCTGCTGTCTCACTCCCCAAATATCTGCTATGGCTAGGGCCTGGCCAGAGTGAACCAGGAGCTGGGGATTTGCCTTGATCTCTCACACAGGTGGCAGGCAGTTTACTTGAACCATGCCAGCTGAATTTCCCTGGTTTCCATTGATTGGCAGAATCCTGGGGCGGAACTTAGGCAGTGGAGTGTGATGCTGGCCCCATTATTGACAAACAAAGCACTGAGTGAATTTGGATTAGTGCTGGAGATTAGATGAGGCTTTAAGGTGAATGTATAGTTGGTGGGGGCTAAGTCAAGGTCACTATCAATAAACACATTTTCTGAAATAGTTATCAAGTCAGTACAAATCCTGATTGGGAACTGTCACAAACTTTTTTTTTTTTTTTTAAGATTTACTTGGCTTATTTGAAAGTAAGAATCACAAAGAGAGATGGAGAAAGTGTGTGTGCATGTGAGGAGAGAGAGAGAGAGAGAGAGAGAGAGAGAGAGCTCCCACCTACCGCCCATTTGTTAGATTACTCCCCAGATGGCTACAATGGCCAAAAACAAGGAGCTTCATCTTTGTCTTCCAGATAGATGCATGGCCAAGTGATTGGGCCATTGTCCCCCGCTTTTCCTAGGAATATTAATAGGGGAGTGGATCGGAAGTGGAACAGCTAGAACTCGAACGAGGACCCATATAGGATGCTGGCATTGCAGGCAGATGCTGTGACACAGTGTTGATCCCAACCATTTGTAGTCTTACAAACACATTCTTTCCAAACAGTGCTTTTCATCTGGAGCTTCAAGACAGTGATTTTGTCTGGCGAAGTAAACCCCAGGTGTGATCCCTGAGACTCCTGGGGAAATCCTGCCCTGTTGGCGGACCACACTGCAGCCATCTTTTGTTTTCATAGTTTCTCCCTACACTTCGGTCGGTGGAGAAGTATGAGAAATATTCCTGGAATTCGGATGGGTCGTTGTCCTGGATATAGGAGGCCAGTTTGTTCCTGCATCTGTGTCTATCAAGAGACAGTCTCCACTGCATTTCTCACCAGGCTCACCTGTGTGGCTGGGACTGCGCTCTTGGAACCATGACTCCACGCTGAATTCAACTTTGGTGTCAGGGCAGCCCACCCAGCTCCTCCAGATGAGCGTGCTGCAGGGCAAAAGCGGCCCCTGTGGTGCACGGTCCGGGGCTGTTATGGGAGTTTCAGGAGAATCAGCTACTGGAGGGCTGAGCGGGTGCCTCCCTGAGCTCAGCCTGGGCTAGCAATACCTTTGGTCTGGCTTTAGGAAGCTGCGAGAATCGCCAAAGCCCAAGCCCTGCGGTTGGTCACAGGAGCAGAGTCCCTTCGCTGTGTCTCTGGCAGCGGCAGCGACCGGGAGAAAGGGTGTGGTGTGTGTGTGCGTACGTCCCTGGATTGGGGAGGCGGATCACTGTACCGAGAGGGGAACTTGGATGCCTGCACTTGTGAGCAGGATTGGGGGCGGGAGGGAAGGACAGAGGGGGGCCCTGGGCATCCGTCCCCGGGAATGCGGAGGGGCGGGCCCACCGTGGGGAAGAGGGGCGGGTCTGTCGGGGGGTGGTGCCCTTTGCTTCAGCACCTTGGAGGCTTTCATCAGGAGTCAGGACTGCGGTGTCTGCTGCGGAGTAGTGGGACACAAAGGTGAGGCGCTCGCTGGTTCCTAGCTGGGGGCGCTCCCATCTCCAGCCAGGGTTGCTTGGCATCAACCCTGATTCTGGTGCTCCGGCTATCTGCAACTGCCCCTGTATGTCAAGTTTCTGCACACTCGGGACATTTTTTTTTTTTGGCTGAGTCCTGTCTCAGGTTGCCTGGTGGGTCTGTGTGGCTCTTCTATCTCCCTGGTCCTTGCTGGCGCCTCCTCAGAGCTAGAGAACTTGGATGGTGGTGGTGGTGGTGTGCTGCAGTGCCACTCCCTTCAATCCTTGTTTTATCTAATGCTCAGCCCCTCATCAATTTTTTTTCTGGTAATTTTCCGAATTTGCGCCTATCCCAGCTCTGCCTAAGGTAACAGCCCATAGGAAGAGGGGTGGGAGCAACAGTTGGGGGACTGAGGTAACTCTGGGTGCTTAGGCTCTGCTCTTGTGCTGGGGACACAGCCAGCCCGTGGCAGGAGCCCCTTAGGCGTCTGTCAGCTGCCTCAGCCTGCATACTGCAACTGTGTGTGCAGTCCACCTTGGACTCCTAGATTTAAAAAAAAAAAATTTTATCTGAAAAATAATTACAGAGGGAAAAAACAGAATGGCTTCCAATAGTTGGTTCACTTCTGCAATAATGACAGTGGCTGTGGCTGTATCAGGCAAAAGTCATGAATTCCAGCTGAGTCTTCCACATGTGTAACAAGGGCCCAGCATGTGGCCATAGTGACCTGCCTTCCTAGCACATTAACAGAAAATTGGATGGGATAATGGCGTGGCAGGTTGTGGCTTAGCAGGCTGTGCTACAATGCAGGCACCAGCTTCTAGAATTTTGGATACACTGTGGAAAGAGTGTTTGCTTAGGGTGAGCAACGTAGCAGCACAGAGAATACAACTCTGAAAATCGTGAGATGTGTTTGCTGGGAGTTGGTGGGACGGAGCCTTAGCAGGGGAGTGGAAGATTGGCACCGGCATCCAGGCTGGCTAGCACATCATGAAAAGCTCATTTCTTGGCAGCTGAATGGCAGCTCTCTGCTGTGCAAATAAAAACTGATCGTTGATTGAAGCTTGATCTTCTCTGAAATGTTTCTGGTGTCTGAAAACCCCGTGATTTAGCAGGAGACTAAATTTAGTAGTTGGCCCTTTACTCTGTGGATGTGGCCAGCGGATGCCAGTCCATCATGATCCCAAGGGGTGCTAAGGCTGAGGAAGCGATGCTACCTCCTCAGTAGGGCTATTCCCCACCAGCCCCTCAGGCCAGGCCTGTGCCAGCACTCAGCCCGAATGTCTCTCTTAGCCCTGTTCTTGTCCTTGTTGTTTGGTGTGCAGGTTTTCATGAGGAGACTAGAGAGCATGCTGTGCCTGTTTGCAGCCTTGTCAGTGATGGTGCAGCTCAGCATTGGCCTCCCTCCCAGGTATGTTTGAGAAAGAAGGGCTGGGACCTTTCTCGTGCCCCTGGAAGTAAGCATGGGGTCTCTTCCTGTGGTTTCATGGGTGGCATCTCCAGGGCTTCATGCAACTCTTTTGTCTTTGCAGAATTAATCAGACCCATCTGCTGCCCTCCTCCCTGAAGATCCGCAGGGTGGGTCTGAAATTTCAGGGTTCAACTTTCACCCTCGAAGGCTTTCCATTCCAGATCATAGCAGGTACCATGCACTACTTCAGGGTGCCCAGGGAATACTGGATGGATCGTTTGCAGAAGTTAAAGGCCTGTGGCTTCAACACCCTCACCACGTGAGTGCTGCTCATTGGTATCAGTTTCAAATCTGTAGTTTAATTCCTGACTCTGAGATTGTGTGAGTCACCATGAAGGTTGACATTTTAGTGCTTTTTTTTTTTTTTAAAGACTTATTTAAAAGAAAGCAGTGGAGGATGGCTTAAGTCCTTGGGCCCCTGAAAAATGTGAGAGATTTGAAAGATGCTCTCAGCTTCTGATGGGCTCAGCTCCAGCCATTGCATCAATTTGGGGAGTGAAGCATTAAGAGGGAGAGAGGAAGAGATTGAGGAAGAGGGGGAGAGAGAGAGAGGAAGGGAAGGAGGTAATGAAGATGGAGAGAGAGGGAGGGAGGGAGAGCGAGAGAAAGAGAGAGAGAAATCTTCCATCTTCTGATTTACTCCCCAGATGGCCACAGCAGCTAGGGCTGGGGGCTGGGCTAGGCCAAAGTTAGGAGCCGGTAACTCCATCTGGGTCTTCTGCATGGGTGGCATTTGGATCCTGTTCTGCTGCTTGCCCAGTGCTAGCAGGGATCTGGATAGGAAGTGAAGCAGCTGCGACTTAGACTGGCTCCCTGTCACTGAAGGTGGCAGCTTAACTGCTGCACCACACTGCTGGCCCTTTACTACCTGCAGGCTCTCCACTTATTCCCTTAAGGGACTCAACTTGTTAAACATCATTGCTTATGCCAAAATTCTTTGCTAATTCTGATTTTAGTAGTGATACTTCCTTCACCTCTTTTGGCTTTGTTTTACATTTTGTGTGCCTTTTATTTAGCTTTACGTAATTTTTTTTTGGCTGTTATTGAAAACTGTACATACCATATTGGAGATATAGAATTGAGGGATATCGAACCTGCGGGCCATATGGTGACTCTGAAATAATTGCCTGGTACTGCATGTGCAACTGCTCAAAGTACTAGAAGTTCATTAAATCAATAGCAATTTTATTTTTAGGCTTATTTTATTATTTGAAAAACAGTTACCAATACACACACACACACACCCTTACACAGAGGAGGAGAGACAGGGAGGAAGATCTTCCATCCAATGATTCACTTTACCCACTAGGCCATGCCACTGGGCCCCATTTTGATGATCTTCTATTGCCCTTCCTGGCACATGAGCAGGGAGATGGCTTAGAAGTGGAGCACTTGGGACTCAGACTAGCACTCCTATGGGATGCTGGCATTCCAGGGTGTGGCTTAACTTGTTACATCACATTAGCTTCAGCAGGCTAATTTTTAAATCGATCATTTTGCTTGGTCTGTGGGTTGTATTATAAATATCTACATATCTCTTGGCAGAAAAGAAAAACTCACCACCCTAGCATAATTGGGCTATGCTTATCCTTCGCCCTAGTTTTGGTTTCAGAAGTAAAATTTTCTTCTAATGTTATTATTTTCACTCCTTTATTGTCATTGGATTTTCCTAGATGTTCCTTTCTTTTTTTTGAATAAACATTCATTTGTATTTGAAGCACAGAGTAACAGAGAGAGGACTCAAACACACACACACGAGAGAGAGAGAGAGAGAGAGAGAGAGAGAGAGAGAGAGAAAATCATCCATCTGTTTGTCCACTTGCCAAATGATCTCAGTGGCCAGAGTGGGGCTGGTCTGAAGCCAGGAACTAGGAGTTCCTTCTGGGTCTCCCACATGGGTACAGGGGACAAAGGACTTGGGTACTCAAGCACTGCCCTCCCAGGCCTTTTGCTGGAAGCTGGATGGGAGTAGAATCTGAGTAGTTCATTTAGCTCTAATCAGCTCTTGTTACACAGCAGTCCAGTTGGTGCAGGTGCCAGACATGGGGAAGCACATGCGTTGTACGATCCTGAGGTTAGGTCCTGGTCCTTTGTGAGCCTGTGTTGGGTTTATCTCTTGAGCTAGGTTGCGTTCAGGGTGAAGAAATTTCCATTTCCACACAAAGCAGTCTTGGGTGTGTTTTTTCTTCCTCTAGTCTGGAATAGGTAAATGGTGGTTATTTCCCTTTTTCCAAGCTGATTAGGCTCTGGAAAAGCAATTTTCCTTGAGCACAGATATTAAAAAAAAAAACCACAAATATTCTGAGTCTACATCAAAATAGTGACCTTCTTTCTGGAAGCAAAAGGTGTTTTTTTTCTCAGATATTCCCTGTGACTTCCTGGAGGTAAAAATCAAGAAAGATTGGGACACTCTTCAGCCTTGCTCTCCTTCAGAGCTGCTCAACTTAGGCTAGTCAGTAATGAATCTAGGAATTCATCACTTACAGTTTAACTATTCTTGCCAGTACTGGTTCTAGCAGTGGGCTTAGTTTTGTTCCTGGTAAGCAATAATTATTTGTGTTTGCCTGTGTTAGTCAGGGTTGTCAAAGATAGAATCAGCAGGATTAAGAACTTGTCTGCACCATCATGGAACTGAGAAGCCCTAAGATCTGTGATTAGTAAGCTGGGGACCCGGGGGAAGCCATGATGCTTTAGTTTGAGTCCAAAAGGTTGGAAACCAGGAGAGTCAATGGTGTAAGTTTCAGTTCATTTTCCAGGGCTTTCAACAGTCAAGAATAGTCAACTTTTCAGTCCGAGGTGAAAGACTAAACAATCAAGGGTCAGGCTCAGTCAGTGCCCGGCTGGGTCTTTCTCTGAATCTGTTTTGATCAGACCGGGTACTTTATTGGTTAATTGAAGTCTATAGGGGTCAATAGTCTGCTTTTCTCAGGTCACCATTTCAAATGTTAGTCTCATCCAGAAAGACCCTCATTGACACTCCAGAAGAATGCTTGACCACCTGTCTGGGTACCTTGTAATTTAGGCCAGTTGAACACAAACAATTAGCGTCAAGCAGCCCATTCTAATTTTCTAGGCAAAGCTCTCCTGCCCCCTTCCATTCATGACTTGACTAAAAGATAACTACTTCCCATGCTCTAATACATCAGTTACTCTTTTTAGCTTTGTGAAAATGGAATTAAGCAATATATACTTTTTGGTGCCAAATTTTCTTTGTTCAAAATTGTACTTGTGAGATTCGTCTGTGTTATCATGACTGCATGGAATTGCATTGATAATCATATGAGACTATTTGTTTTGTGGATTTGGGTTCTATTTTCAGTTTGTAACTATTATAAATAGTGCCCCCAGGAATTATTCTGTACTTACTTCTTTGTGACTATGAGTAAATAACTTCTGTGCGTATGCTTCCAGGAATGTATTTGATGGGTATAGGTGTATGATACACTTTATTTTTAAATGGAAAATCAGATATACAGAGAGAAGGAGAGACAGAGAGGAAGATTTTCTGTCCATTGATTCACTCCCCAAGCGGCTGCAATGGCTGGAGCTGAGAAGATCTGAAACCAGGAGTCTGGAGTCTCTTCTGGGTCTCCCACATGGGTGTGGGGGCCCACGGCTTTGGGCCATCCTTGACTGCTTTCCCAGGCCACAAGCAGGGAGCTGGATGGGAAGTGGAGCTGCTGGGCTTAGAACTGGCACCTATATGGCATCCCAGCAAGTGCAAAGTGAGGACTTTAGCTGCTTGGCTACTGCACCGGGCCCTGATACACTTTATTTAAAAAGTCAATCAGTGTTCCACTTTCCCAAGACTTCCCGAAGTTGCTAAGTTTAATTTGTGTACATTGTTGTACAACCATTACAACTAAGCTTCTGGAACTTCGAAAAAATCATTTTATACTAAAAATCAGTGCCATTGAACCACAGCTTCCCATCCTCTTCCTTTCCAGTTGTTGGAAACCGCTGTTCTACTTTCTTCCTCTATAAATCAGTTCTTCTAATTTGTATAAATGGTATCATACAATATTTGATCTTATATGTTTAGTTTCTTTTATTTCATATAATGCATTTTTAAAAGATTTATTTATTTTAATTGCAAAGTCAGATATACAGAGAGGAGGAGGAGACAGAGAGGAAGATCTTCCTTGTGATGACTCACTCCCCAAGTGACTGCAATGACTGGTGCTATGCTGATCCAAAGTCAGGAGCCAGGAGCTCTTCCAGATCTCCCACGTGGGTGCAGGGTACCAAGGCTTTGGGCTGTCCTCGACTGCTTTCCCAGGCCACAAGCAGGGAGCTGAATGGGAGGCTGGGCTGCCGGGATTAGAACTGGTGCCCATGTGGGATCCCGGTGCATTCAAAGCGAGGACTTCAGCCTCTAGGCCACACCGCTGGGCCCCATATAATGATTTGAAGAGATTCATGCACACAGCAGCATAAAGCTGAATTTCATTCCTTTCAAAATATGAATAGTGATGTAGTATGTTTATATCCTACTTTTTGTGTATTGTTCATCCAGTTCTAGACATTTGAGTTGTTTCTGTCCTTTGCTATGAATAAAGTTGCTGTGAACATTGATTTGCAAATATCTATTCAAGTTTATGTTTCAGTGCTTTTATACAGACATACACATGCACATGGGACTTCCGAACCGAGTTGTAACTTGATATTTGATTATTGAAGAACCTACTTGAAGTGAAATTTCTTGTTGTTCTGATTTGCATTTCCTTAATAGCTAGTGCTGCTGTATGTCTTCTCATATGCCTGTTGATTATTTGTACCTTTTCTTTTGTAGAAGTGGATGTTCAATTTCTTTGACGATTTTTCAATTCTTTGTTTTTTGCTGTCATCGAGGCATAGGGATTCTTCATACATTATGATATTAATTTCTTAACAGATATGGAATTTGCAAATATTTCCTACAATTCTGTGAGCTGTTTTTTTTTCCTCTGTTGATAGCTTTTCTGATGCAAAGTTTTTAAGCCATGATGAAATGAAGTTTATCTACTTTTCTTTGCTAATACTCTTGATGTCATATTGAAGGAAATATTGCCAATTCCAGTATTATGAGGATTTCTCACAATGTTTTCTTCTAAGAGCTTTACAGTTTCAGTGATTATGTTGAAATATTTGATGCATTTTAAGTTGTATTTTTTATATAGTATTCTGTAAGGGTCCAATTTCATTCTATTGCCTGGGGGATTTCCCTGCATCACTCAGTTAAAATCATTATGTACTGTCCTTTAAGATTTTATTCATTTGAAAGGTGGAGAGAACAAATCAGCATGAGTGATTGAATTATCACCCATCTTTTGATTCATTTGTTAAATGCCTACAACAGGGCCCGGCGCGGTGGCGCAAGTGGTTAAGGTCCTCGCCTTGCACGCCCGGGATCCCATATGGCCGCCGGTTCTATCCCGGTTAGCCCCGTTTCCCTTCCAGCTCCCTGCCTGTGGCCCGGGAAAGCGGTCGAGGACTGCCCAAAGCTTTAGGACCCTGCACCCGTGTGGGAGACCTGGAAGAGGCTCCTGGCTTCGGATCGGCATAGCATTGGCCGTTGTGCTCACTTGGGGAGTGAATCATCGGACGGAAGATCTTCCTCTCTGTCTCTCCTCTCTGTATATCCGCCTTTCCAATAAAACAAATAATAAAAATAAATCCTGAAAAAAAATGCCTACAACAACGGGGGCTGGCCCAGGCTGAAGCCAGAAGCTAGGTGTGCATCCTGGTCCTCCATGTGGGTGGTAGGGTTCCAACGACTTGGGCCGGGATCTGCTGCCTCCCGAGGTAAGCATCAGCAGGAAGATGGCATTGGAAGTGGATCCAGTTAACAATTCTTTGAAAGGCTGATTACAGGCAGGCAACATCTCAGGAGGTGAGTGTGCAAGAATAGGCTGGCACTGTGTGTGTATGCATGTCATGTCTGTGCACATGCAGATGTATTATATGTATATAGAGATGTATATATGTGTGTGTATGTATGTTGTATATATATACATATGGCTTATATGCATATGAATATATATGCATATACAGACATGCATATATATACACACACATTCTGTTTGTGGGCTTTCAAAAACATCTTCCATTTTTCTTCTCATTATGAATGATGTTTTGCTTACCATAGGTGTGTATATTTGTATGCCCCCTTAATACTTCTTCTTTTGGTAATCTCACTATTTATTTCCTTTCTATGTTGATTTATTTGTGATTGATTTCTACTCCAGCTTTCAATTATATTTTCCTGTTTCTTTGTGTGCTGGGAATTATGAACCCTCTAACTTAGTTATTTAGTTATCTATATTCTAGAGGCAGAGGGAGAGAGAGACAGGCATAGAGCAGGAGACAGCCTTTTTATATCATCTAGTTTACTTCCTATGTGCCCATAATGGCCAGGCTTGTGCCAAGTGCACAGGAACCAGAAACTCAGTCCAGGTTTTCCACATAGGTGTCAAGGACCCGATGACCGTGCTTCTCAGGTTTTGCATTGTCAGGAAGCTAGAATCGAGCTCTGGAGCCAGGCATGGATGCTACAAGCTCCAAAATGGGTATGGGTGTCTTAAATGCTAGACCAAAAGTTCACCCTGGTTACTGGATTTCATCTTAATTGATGTAAGTAGTATTGTTTTGTTCTGTCGTATAAACTTTAGAGTTCTTTTTAGCCTCTGTTAAAGGATGTGTTTATTTGAAAGGCAGAGTTACAGAGGGAGAGATAGAGATGAAAAAAGAGACATCTTTCATCAGATGGTTCATTCCTCAGATGACTGCAACAGCTAGCATTTGGCCAGGCTGAAGAGCCAGGAGCTTCTTCTCAATCTCCCAAGTGGACTGCCAGGGTGAATTCTGTCCATATTTCATTGTTATACCAGATGCATTGAGAGGGAGCTGGGCTCAAAGTGTAGCACCTGGAACTCTAGCCAGTGCCTGTATGGAATGCTGGCATTGCAGGCAATGGCTTGACTCACTACTCCACAATGCCGGTCTCTGATGACTGTGTAGATAAAATTTCTTATATTTTCATGAACATCTAATGAAAGAAAATTAGAATATTACATATACACTGATCTTACCTTAAGCTCAGCAGCATAGCAAAATATGGACTGCTTTGATCTTTGCTTAGCACTGGAGTGGGGGGGAAATTGTTGGGATCAAGTCTAGTACACAGTTAGAAGCCTGGTTGTTGAAAATATTCAGTCTCTTTCATGGTAGAAATCATTTCCATGGCTTATTAAACCTGGAGGGACTCTAGGGTCCACAAAGGTCGGGGTGAGGGTCTCACAATCTTTTTTTTGTCCCTCTGCAGACATGTACCCTGGAATCTCCACGAGCCAATTAGGGGACAGTATTATTTCACCAAGAACCTGGATTTGGAGTATGTATTAATTTGACTGATTTGAAAGACAAGGGTTTGATTATGGGGATCAGATGAAGTAGTTGGGGGTGCCTTTCTTTCCTTGTTAAAAAAAAGATTTATTTATTTATTTGTTTGAAAGTTGGATTTACAGGGAGAAGAGAGAGACAGAAAGATCTTCCATCTGTTGGTTCACTCCCCCAAGTGGCCACAATGGCTGGATTTGAGCTGACCTGAAACCAGGAGCCAGGAGTTTCTTCTGGGTCTCCCATATGGGTGCAGGGTCCCAAGGTTTGGGCCATGATTTATTACTTTCCCAGGCCTCAAGCATGGAGCTGGAAGGGAAGTGGGGCCACTGTGATACCAACTGGCACTCACATGGGATCCCAGTGCATGCAAGCCAAGGATTTTAGACACTAGGCTCCCATGCTAGGCACAGTGTCTTACTTTCTGCCTTGAGAATCATCAGAATGCTCAGATAATTTTGTAGAAATCCTCTTGAACAGTGAGTCTGTAATCTACATGGTGCATGGGCCTTAATGTTTATTTTGCATTAAAACTCACCATGTAATTTGGGAATAATGCATCCAGAATTCTACAGTGCAAGAGAACAGGTGAAAAACCTGTTCTCTCAGTTACAGTAGATTTCTGGACTAGGGCTTATAGCATTTATAATATGTGACAAAGTTTGGAGTAGATGTTTATTCAGGCATCTGTGTGTCTTGGAACTTGGAAAGTTCATGGAAAATTCATGTTATGAAAAACTATGCATTTCAAACATTTCCCAAAATGAACCTATGGGTTTTTCTAAAGATTTTATGTGTGTGTGTGTAAAAGGAAGGGAGGGGGCAAAGAATGTGTTCCATCCTGTAGTCCTTATCTAAATGCCTACAAATGCTGGAATGGGTCAGGCCAAAGTCAGGAGCCTAGAACTTGATGATGCTTTGCAGGGGCTAAAGTACTGCTGCTGCCTCTCATGGTGCACCTGAGCAGGAAGTTGGGTTGGAAGTGATGTGGAAACTCCAAGCCAGACACTCTGATGTGAGATGAAGGCATCTGCACTGCATCGGATGCTTGCTTGTAAACTTGTGGTATCATTCCATTTCCTGTGAACCTCTTGAAGTGCGCTCATATGTATTTACCCTCTGCTGTGTTCACATGCTATCGTTGATGCCGGAAATGGATAGATGTACAACAGAGTGTGTGCAGAGAGGGAGGCAGTACCAACATACAAACGTGGGAACAAAGCACAGAAGACAACGGTAAATTTACAGCTGAGATAAATTTCAGGGATGAACCTGATTCAGCTAGAAGGGGCTGAACGGTGTTTCAAGTGGAGTGCTAAGGCAGACAAGGTGAGATAGTGGGATAAGCCAGCTAAGATGGTGCTAATTTCCATCACAGTTAAGCATCAATTTTTCAGCTACAAAGATTTGCTTTCATTCAAGTAGCACAAAGGTAGGGACTGCATTAATTTTCCTTTTTTAAAAGATGTATGTATTTATTTGAGAAGTAACAGATAGGGGAGAAGAGGCAGGGATATATTTTTTCTGTGGAGTCACTCCGTAAATGGCTGCCATACTGGGGATAAGCTGATGTCAGAAGCCAGGAGCTTCTTCCAGCTTTCCCCCAGGGGTAGCAGTATTCCAGGTACCCCAACTCTGAAACAGAATTGGAAACAGGTACCCCTGGAAAGGATATCTGTCCTTCAAGACATAACAGAAATGCTCCAGGATCATTCTGTTTTGTATGTCTTCATGTTCAATGCATAAATTACAAACCACCATGCATGTGCATAGCAAGCCAGCTTGCAGCAGAAAGGGCCTGAGGAATCTTTGGGTGTTGGGACACATTGTATCTGTTCCAATTTCATTGCTCGTGTTCAATCATGTGACTCCATCCAAAGGAGTGGGAAGCTGAGAGAGTTGAACTTTATATCCCAGGAAAATGGGAAATGTATTTAATAATTAACTGTGTTACACTTGGAATTTTCTGGGGACTGTAAATAATGCCAGCTGTATTGTCTAATAAAATAGAAGATAAATGCTGGAGAGATAGCTGAAATCCAGATCATGGCCTCCGTTACTACACTGTGGAATCTGAGGACACTGGGGAATACTGAATGAGTTTTACTTTGCATTTAGAAAACCCTGTTCAACAATATTTCTTTTTTTAAGACTTATTTTATTTTTATTGCAAAGTCAAATATACAGAGAGGAGGAGAGACAGAGAGGGAGATCTTCCATCCATTGATTCACTCCCCAAGTGGCCACAATGGCCAAACGGAGCCAATCTGAAGCTAGCATCCTGGAGCCTCATCTGGGTGTCCCACACAGGTACAGGGTCCCAAGGCTTTAGACCATCCTCAACTGCTTTCCCAGTCCATAAGTCCATAAGCAGGGAGGCTGCATGGGAAGTGGGTCCACTGGGATTAGGACCAGCAGTCATATGGGATCCTGGTGCATGCAAGGCAAGGGCTTTAGCCACTAGGCTACCATGCTGGGCCCAAGTTCAGCAATATTTCTAAGGGACAGTATAACAGTGTAGTTGGGATTTCATTTTTGGAGACTCTCTGGTTGTATTAAAAATTAAGTTCTTTTCAAAAATGATTTATTTAATTGAAAGACATAATGAGATGTAGAGAGGGAAAGAGAGAGAGAGAGAGAGAGAGATTGATTTCATTGACCAGCTTTCTCCCAATTCCCTCCAGTAGCTGAGACTGGACTGACCTGAAACCAGGGTCCTGGGATTTCATCTGGGTCACCTAAGTGGGTGGTAGGGGTCCAAATAGTTGAGCCATTATCTGCTGCCTTCTAAGACTCATTGGCAGAAAGCTGGATTGGGAACAGGAATTGAAGCTCTAACCCATACTCTTAGATGGGATGCAAGCTTGTCCTGCATCACAGCACCAAGCCCACATATTAGTTCTTAAGTTTAATAAAGAATGTGACCACAGCAGTACTTTAATCCCCCAAAACTTCAATTTTAAAAATTACCACACAAACACACAAAGAAGATATCAAAATCTATTGTAAACTTGGTACAGATGTTTGCCCTAGCACCTAAGATGGCTCCATCCCGATGTCAGAGTGACTGGGTTCAATTCCCAGCTTTGGCTCCTGATCCCAGCTTCCCAACAACACAGATCCCAGGAGGCAACAGGTGATTTTCTGCTGCTTGAATCCCTGCCACCCTGTGAGGTACTTCTATTGAGCTTCTGGCTTCCCAGTCTGAATTGGCCTAGCCATGACTGTTGTGAGCTTTGGGAAGTGAACTAGTGGAAGGGAGCTTGTTTTTTCTTTCCTTGCCTTAGTTCTCTGCTTTTCAACCAAGCAAAACAACCTCAGTAGGTCATTTGCAGTATTAGTTTGTTTGCTGCTGTTGATATGATTGACAGAGACTGAAGGGATGTTGGAATCAGTTAAGGGTAAAGGAAGGAAATCTGTCGGATAAATTTTCCAGTAACTCAGATGAGAAGTTCTACATTCTTGATCCAGTGTGGTAGCATAGGAGCATCAGAAGCCTGGACGTGTTGGGGAGGAGGAATAAACATGACTGGATGCTTGCCTGGCAGTAGGAGAAGACTAAGGCTGTTCTGTAAGTTTCTGCTACAGAGAGTATCTGGCAAGATGCTGCCATCACAGAAGTGGGAAACACAGGGGAGTGAAATTGGGTGGAAAGACTGGAGCTTGCATCAGGATTTCTGGATTTCCACTCTGAAGTTCTATTCGTCCGTGCTTTGACGGAGCCAATGTTTTACTATCAGGCCCCTGTACCCATGGGATTATGTTTGTGAAAGGAGTTTTGTGGGTCAGATTGGAAGATGTGCCCATTTCAAGCACAGAGGAGCCAGGGGAGAGAAATAGCAGTGATTTCAGCTCTCAGCTTCTGATGTGGTCTCATAATCTTGCGTTCATTTCCTAGGTCTTTTATATCCATGGCCTCACAGCTTGATATCTGGGTCATTCTTTGTCCAGGTCCCTATATTGGTAGTGACTTAGACCTTGGAGGCTTGCCCAGGTAAGTTGTATTCTGAGCTTTCTTGGTCATAATTGCATATGGGACACAGCATGTTCAAATGGAATTTAGAGCAAGGCATTTTGCGTTTTGTTTTTGTTGTACATTTTAAAAATTGAAAGTCAGAAGTTACATGGAGTGAGGGACAGAGGGAAGAAGGTAGGGATGGAGGGAAGGAGGAAAGGTGAAGGGAGAGAGGGAAGAAGATAAGGAGGGAGGAGAGGGGAGAGAGGCAGGAAGTATGGAGGGAGGAAGGGAGGAAAGGTGGCAGGAGAGAGCTCTTTGCGACAGGAAAAGCGCAGGGAGCAGAATCTCCATCTATGTGGGTGGTATGGACTATCTCTGGCTACTTTCCAGCAGTGGTTTTACTGGCTGCACCTGAAACACTGACCACTCTTTATCTGGATTTTGCCTGCAGTAATTTCCCCCTATCTCATAACAATAGAAAATGAGCTTTAAAATATTGGGGATTATGTTGTATTTGGATATTGTTAAAGTTAACCTCATCTCTCCAGTGCAAATGGGATAGATCTCCTATTTATTCTTTACGTAAAAACTGATACAGTTTAAATAGCGTTTTTGTAAATTCAATTTTTTTTTGTAGTGACAGTACAAGCAGCAAGCAATAGCCTGAATTCTCTCCTTTTAAAGAGGGTTTTTCCCCCTTTCAGAGTATCTTTTTCAATCGTGGCTAGATACATGACGTGTAAACTTTGTCATGTTCGCCATTTACAAATGCGTGGTTCTGTGTCCCTGGCTCGATTCTAAATGTAAAGCCATGAATACTTGGTGTCATCACCTTTCCACCACCCAGAAACTTTCCATTCTTCCTTCACACCTTGGCAACTGTAGTTTAACCTTTTGTCTCTGCAGATTCTGGGTGTTTCCTATAAGGGACGTCCTTCAATATGTGACATTTTACGTCTGTCATCTTAGACATAGCACAATATTCTCAAGGTTCTCCTACATTGTAGTATATACCAGTACACCATTTTAAAATTTTATTTATTTATTTATTTATTTATTTATTTATTTATTTATTTATATTTTTAAAAATAATCTTACCTACCTAGTTGATTAGGGTACAAAGGGCCAAGGGTACAGGAAAGTGGGTAAGACCATTGTTTCTACACTAATGTCATCATGTTTTCCCCCTGTATCTGGGGTCAGGGCAGGAACAAAGAGAGAAGACCCACCCAGCCTCTCACCCATCCCAGGTCCCCGATGTGAGGCACGCTCCGAGAGTCGTGCTCAAGCAGTTTTGATAGTTCAACAGTTCTGAATTGCTGCCATTCTTGCCGTTCCAAGCATGATGAAATCGATTCAGAATCCACTGGCTGACACAGTCTCTTCATGGTTGGGGTTCTGAGATCAGCAGTTCAGTTGGAGGGATCTCCAAAGAAACTTCATCTGAGGTGATCCCAGACCTGTTTCTTGTGTGTGCTTGCCAGTACAGGGTCTGGCACAGTCCGTCGCCCCAATCAGCTTATGCACATGCTGGTTGTTGCAATTGCTGGGTCAGTTCTGTTTCTAGCCCTGTCTTCCACACAAACAGAAGGGTGTTGTAGTCCAGCCTAATCCTGCCCACTTCATATTCTGCCCTCATGCAAACCAGTTGGGAGTTGCAGCCTAGTTGGGGTGACTCCCCATAACCCCCACCAGGCCTGCCCCTTACCCTGTTTCCCATGCATGCCAGGATGCCAGTATACCATTTCATAAAAAGATATTTATTTGTGTGAAAGTCAGTGTTAATAGAGACAGACAGAGAGAGAGAAAGAGAGAGAGAGAGAGAGAGAGAGAGAGAGAGAGAGAGAGAGAGAGATCTTTCTTCCAGTGGTTCACTTCCCTAATGGCAGCAGGGGCAAGAGCTGGGTCAGGCTGAATGCAGGAGTCAGGAGCCAGGAGCCAGGAGTCAGGAGCCAGGAGCCAGGAGGCAGGAGCCAGGAGCCAGGAGCCAGGAGTTTCTGCTGGGTCTCAAGACCCAGATGGATGGCAAAACTCCAAGCATTTGGGTCATTTTCTGCTTCTCTTAGGCCACTGGTAGGGAGCTGGCTCAGAAGTATAGCAGCTAGCACATGAACTGATGCCCACAAAGGATACTTGTGTCACATGGGGCAGTTTGTTTACTTTGCCACAGCACCAGTTCAATCACCATTCCTTTTTAATGGCATAATAGCATTGCATCAAAGAGTGCTTTTTAAATAAATTTATTATTATAGTTTTCAAATTTATCAATTTTTATCACTTTACCACATTTCAGTTCATATTTAGATACTACATGCACAAATATTTCATTTTTTTTCTTGAAAATAAGGCTATCACTGTAACAGAATGAGGGATTTGTGACAATGATCATAATATGGCAAAGAGGGGGCACATTGTCAAGTGCATGGTGTAATTTAGTCACTGTTAATAGGTATAAACAAAAGTTAAACTTCTAAATAGCTATGACATTTTTATTCTGCAGTTGAGGTTAGCAAACTTACTTTGTGCAATGCTGAAAGACTATATGGTCCAGATGCTGTTTTTGTTGCAACTATTCAATCCTGCTTTGGTAGCACAAGACCACACAGGACAACAAGCAAGCATATGGACATGGCTGTATGCTAATGTAACTTTATTTACAGAAGCAACTTGCAGGTCTGACTGGGCCAGGTGGCTGTATTTGATGAAATCTGTTCTAAATCAATGTGAAATGACTCTTCACTTTCATTTCCAGACAGGTTCTTACTTGACCATGTTTTTTTTTTTTTTTTAAGATTTACTTTACTTTTGTTTGAAAGGTGGAGTTACAGAGAGAAGAAAGAGAGAGAAAGAGAGAGAGAGAGAGAGAGAGTATCTTTTATCTACTAGTTCACTCTCCAGATGGCCATAATGGTTAGAGATGAGGCCTTCAGAAGCCAGAAGCCAGAACCCAGAAACTTCTTCTAGGTCTCTCATGCAGGTGCAGGGCCTAAGGCTTGGAACCATCTTCCACTGCTTTCCCAGGCCATAAGCAGGGAGCTGGACCATAAGTGGAATAAGCAGATCCCAAACTGGTACAGATTCCAAACTGGGATGCTAGCACTGTAGGTGGAAGCTCAGCCTACTGTGGAATGATCCCGAAGCTACCTCAGGGTTACGTATTTGGAACTGGCACAGACTGCTGCTTCTTAAGGCTGAGGTAAACTCTCATAGTGTGTTTTCCAAACAGGTCATGTGAGTTTAGGCTGTTCGAGCTGTCTGGCCTGATATGCTGGAATGTTTCTTATTGTCTCTCATCTCAAGCCTTGTTTTCAATCCTAGTTGGTTGCTCAGGGATGCAAAAATGAAGCTGAGAACAACTTACCGGGGCTTCATTAAAGCGATGAATCTCTATTTTGATCAGCTGATTCCCAAGATAGCAAAACTCCAGGTAACGTACAGTTCCCACCCCCGTTTTTATGATTACAAGAAGTGAATAGCAGAATGGACTTCCTGGATAGAATGAGCACACTTTCTGTATACTCAAAAGCAGGAATTCAAATTCTTCATTTATAAAGAAGCTGATTTTAATTGATCAGGCTTTACAAGATAAACTATATGTCATTCTTCACAAGTTATAGCTCCTACAAATGTCATTAGGTCATTGGTTAATGCAGAAGTTGCAAGACCATGGTGTCGTATGTATATTGTTAGGGTATAAAGTGTGTCACTACACTTTAGAAGTATGTCACTTAAAAAACTTCATAAAAATATGCACATTAACCTTTCCACAACATTAACATGTATTGTATCCAATTAAAATCAAATCATATTATTTTAACCCACCAAAATCCAAATATAATTTTTCATAGAAGAAAGAAAAGTTGCTCAGCTGATTTCTAAGTTTTAAATTTTTAATTTATGTGAGGTGAAACAAATGTCATTTATGCAGAGCTAAGAGTGTGGTGATGCTTTCACCCTCCGCCCCCCCACTTGTGTTCCCACCATCCGCCTTTCTTCCTTCTTTTTTTTTTTTTTTTAATCTTTTGTTACAAACTTTTTTGAAATATCCTAAAGGTTTATAAGATGGTTGGAAAAGATAAAAGCAACTTTGTATAGAATTTTGGTGGTTCAATTTACAGTTCCTTAAAAACAAGATTTATTTATTTTTATTGGAAAGTCAACTTTACAGAGAAAAGAGAAAGATCTTCCATCTGCTGATTTACTCCCTAAATGGCCCCAATGGCCTGAGATGAGCTGCTCTGAAGCCAGGAGCCTGCTACCATGTGTGTGCAGGGTCTCAAGGCTTTGGGCCATCTTCTACTGCTCTCCCAGGCCATAAAAGGGACTGGATGGGAACTGGAGCAGCTGAGACACAAACAGGTGCCCATATGGGATTTTGGCACTTGCAAGGGAGAGAAATAGTCAAGTGAGCCATTGTGCTGGGCCTGGTTCACCTTAGGATTTTTTGACTTTCTGATGATGTGAAAGAGATTGGCATGCACTGGGCGGGCAGCCTACATTGAGTTTTGGGTGGGCATGGATATGTTCAGTCTTCTTTCAGACTGGTAGGTAGGAGTGGTGTGCTGGCAGGCAGGCCTGTGGTCATGAGGGGAGACACCAGCACCCTGCACTGCATCATGGTGCTGACCTTCATGTGCAGCAGGTTAGGAAGTGTAACTACAGTTTCCACTGCTGATATTTTCAGTTTAGAGTGGGCCTATCAGCATATAACCCCATCATAAAGAGCATTTGTACTAGGTTTAAAGTGAGCAGAGGTGGCTAAGGAGGTTACATCCTTTAGGAATCAAGTTTTGCACTGGGCATTTCACATTTCCCTGGCATATTTTATCATTACAGTAAGGATTTGAAGGCAATGTGGTAGCCTGAATAAAAGTACTACATTTAACTGGGAGAAGGACTCATGTGTATGAACTGAATAGGAACATTTAGTTTATACCATTATCTGTGTCCTGGAGTTAAACTCAGCACAGCCGTTAAGACACCCAAGCGGCTAGAGAAAATCCCTTGGTGTGCTGTTTGGGATATTGGAGACAGGCTCCTCCACAGAGATCAGTGCTATGTTCTCTGATACAGCAGCCATAGGGACATGTGGCTATTTTCATTAACATTAATCAAAATGAAACATTCAGTTCCTCAGTCACACTTGCCACCTTTCAAGAGCTCAATAGTCACAGAGTTTGATTTAACTGAGAACCATGCAGAGTAACAATGTGAAGAGGTAGGAGGGCCGGAGAAATGGATGGAAATGGACCAGAGGGGCAGGCTCCAGTCTGGAAGAAAACTTAGAGAAGCAATGAAGGGGCCAGTGCAATGGTTCAACTGGTCGACCCACTCCTTTCAAGCACCAGTATGTCCTAGCTGCTCCGTTTCCTATCCAGCTCCCTGCCTGTGACCTGGGAAAGCAGTGGATGATGGCCCAATGTTTGGATTGGAGAGGTGGATTTTAGGAATGGTGTTTTGGTGACACTCCAAGCATCTGTAAACTCAGAAAGTCCAGAATTTTCCTTGCCAGTAGTCTCACTGTCAAACTCTCATCTCCTCATCCTCAGTATTTCCAGAGAGGGCCCATCATTGCTGTGCAGGTTGAGAATGAATACGGTTCATACAATCTGGATAGAAAATACATGTCATATGTTAAAAAGGTAAGTGCTTCCTTTTCACTTGATCTTAACCAAAAGGCAGAGAAGCTATAAGTGCTCCTTTCCCCCCTCATTTGCATACTTTTCTCCCTTTGTTAGTTTGTGGAACAAATACTTCTTGCCTATCTGTAGCTTGCTTCACCATTATTCATGGGATAGGAAGGTGAAAGATTCAGTTCAATTTTTCCAAGCATTTATAGTCTGAGCAAAGGCTTGGAAACAGTGCACAGTGCTAATGGAAGATGGGGATGTTAACATTTCTTTCCCATTTCTGGATATCACAGATTGGTTTTGGTTGTCCTTTGCAAAATATGTAATTTTTATATCATTTTACTTTCAACTTTTTTGTGTGTAATTTAAAATGTTTCAAAAAGATCTATTTGTTTGGAAAACAGAATTATAGGGAGAGAAAGATAGACACAGGGGAAATCTGATTATTCATTTCGGAAAAGGCTTTCAACAGCTGAGCCAGCCTGGAGTCGGAGAGCTGCAGCTGCATCTGGGTCTCACACAGAGATGGTAGGGGCCTAAGTACTTGGGCCGACTTCTACTGTGCACTCAGGGATGTTAGCAGGGGGCTGGGCTGAGTGTGGAGCAACCAAGGAACTCGTGCTCCTGTGGTATGGCGGTATCACAGGCAATGGCTTAACCCACTGTGCCTTTGTATCCAATTTTAGGCTCCATATGTCATAGATATAATATATGTGCATGTAGTATAATATAGTGCATAGTTAATATATGCTTTTATTAATTCATTGTGAAAACTTTTGTGTTTTTGTTGAATTATTGGTTTCAATATATAATGCAGTTGCTGGTACATTTGCATTTATATCTGTCATTTTGTCATTTTTGTCTTGCCTGTTCTGTGGCTTCTTTTTTCATCTTTCTTGTGTTCTTTTGGATGACATAAGTATTTTTAAATATTCCATTTTTCCCTGTACTACTATTTCTTTGTATAATTTTAACCATTATTTTAGTGTTTGCCATATAGATAACAGCTTCCATATTTCAATCATTAACATCTAGGTTAACAGCTTTGCCAATTTCAAGAAGGATCAAGCAACTTTGAATAATACATCTTAGATATTACTGTTTATTTTGTTACATAGATGTATACGCATGTTATTATTTTCATATTGAGTTTGTAGTCACTTAGGTTTAAAATTTATTTTTTGTTGCTCTTTTCTTCCCTTCCATCTCTACTTTCATCTCTCCATTTCCTTTGCCTTTTGACTATTCTTTGTTGCAAGTATGCTGGTAAAAAATTACATTACCTCTTGTTGTTTGAAACTATACCTAGCTCATCCTCAATTGTGAAAGATATTTTTGTTGCCCGTAAAGTTGTAGTTTGGAAGTTACTTTCTTTGTGGCTTCTTCTCTTGTCCATTTTTAAAAATAAGAAGTCAGTTATCAGGATAATTATTGTTTCTTCCAAGAAAAAGAATTCTTCTGGCTGATTTGAACTTTAAAAAAGTTTTTTTTTTTTTTTAGTAATCTCTTACAGAGATTTGTTTAGATGCAATTTTCTTTTTATTTACCCAACTTGCATCATTTGATCTTTTCAATTTGTGGCTAGACTACATTTTGGTAAATTCTTTTTTTTTTAAATTTTTTTATTATTATTTTTTTTTATTGGAAAGGCGGATGTACAGAGAGGAGAGACAGAGAGGACGATCTTCCATCCGATGATTCACTCCCCAAGTGAGCACAATGGGTCGATGCTATGCCGATCCGAAGCCAGGAGCCTCTTCCGGGTCTCCCACGTGGGTGCAGGTTCCCAAAGCTTTGGGCTGTCCTTGACTGCTTTCCCAGGCCACAGGCAGGGAGCTGGAAGGGAAGTGGGGCTGCCGGAATTAGAACCGGCGCCCATATGGGATCCCGGGCATGCAAGGCGACGACCTTAACCACTTGCGCCATCGCGTCGGGGCCATTTTGGTAAATTCTTAACTTTGGTGACTTCAGTTGTCTCTCTTCTCTGGCATTTCTGCTACATAAATGTTAAATCATTTCATCATATTCCACCTATCTATGATGTTGTCTTCTGGATACTTTCTTCTAAACATTCTTCTAATTCAGTAATTCCTAATTTCAGATATTTAGTTTTAGATTTTTTTTTCTTCTTTTCTATAGTTTCCATTTTTGCAATTTTTCCAATTTGCCTTAATTCTTTGAACATACTAATTATAGTTATCGCAAAATCCTTGTCCAATTGGCCTAATATTTGATCTCCTGTGGATCTCTTTCTGTTCTCATGGTCCTGGCGATGTATTATGTTACACGCCTCATCATGGTTCTACTCAGCACTAGACATTACTCACAAGAACACTGGGATCCTTGGAGGCTCTTGGGATCATTCCATGGATTAATTTTCACTTCTGGCAGGCATTTGCAATAATGTGCAGCTGAGCTTCAATCCCTGTGAGAGTTAGTTTAATGATTACTTACCCTCATTCCGAAGGAAAAAAAGAGAGAGGCAGAGTTTGTTCCCTGTTCCACTTCCTAAATGGCCACAAAGCCAAAGACCATTCTAAGCTGGAGCTGGAGCCCACAGCTCTATCTGGGCCTCCTACATGACAAGGGCCCCAAGTATTAAGCCATCTGTAGATGCTTCTTCATGCACATCAGCAGGGAGCCAAACTTGAAGCAAGATGAGACAGGATTCTAATTATCAGTGCAATTCTGGATGTTGGCATTGGAAACAGTGGCTTTAATGGCACAACGCCTCTTCTGTGGTTTGAAATGGTAATTGTCACTTTGCCCTTGCTTAGTCTGTGACTGGGTGAAGGAAATTGCTTTTGTGCTGGTTCCCTAATATAAGTAATTAAAAGGAGACTTAAAAATTCTTCTCCATCTCCAGCTTAATTGCTGTTGTTTTTTTCTTGGGAGGAGCAATCCTGTGGTATCAAGAATACCTTATTCACCTGATTGAATGTCTCCCTAGGCCCTGGTGACAAGAGGGATCAAAGTGATGCTCATGACTGCAGATGATGGGGCAGACCTGAAAAACGGACACTTGAAGAATGGTATGGTCTGCTCTCTCTTCAGTTCTGAAGCAGCGCAGGGATTTCTGGGATGCTGTTGCTGCCTCCTCCTCCTTTTCTTCTTCCTCTTCTTCCTCTCCCATCTTCTCCTCCTCCATTGTCTTTGTCTTCTCCTTTCTCCTCCTCTTTCTTCTTCTCCTCCTCTAGCTCCTCCTCTTTCTTTCTTTCTTTCTTTCTTCCTTTCTTCCTTTCTTCCTTTTCTTTCTTTCTCTTTCTTTCTTTCTTTCTTTCTTTCTTTCTTTCTTTCTTTCTTTCTTTCTTTCTTTCTTTCTTTCTTTCTTTCTTTCTTTCTTTCTTTCTTTCTTTCTTTCTTTCTTTCTTTCTTTCTTTCTTTCTTTCTTCTTCCTTCCTTCCTTCCTTCTTCCTTCCTTCCTTCCTTCCTTCCTTCCTTCCTTCCTTCCTTCCTTCCTTTCTTTCTTTCTTTCTTTCTTTCTTTCTTTCTTTCTTTCTTTCTTTCTTTCTTTCTTTCTTTCTTTCTTTCTTTCTTTCTTTCTTTCTTTCTTTCTTTCTTTCTTTCTTTCTTTCTTTCTTTCTTTCTTTCTTTCTTTCTTTCTTTCTTTCTTTCTTTCTTTCTTTCTTTCTTTCTTTCTTTCTTTCTTTCTTTCTTTCTTTCTTTCTTTCTTTCTTTCTTTCTTTCTTTCTTTCTTTCTTTCTTTCTTTCTTTCTTTCTTTCTTTCTTTCTTTCTTTCTTTCTTTCTTTCTTTCTTTCTTTCTTTCTTTCTTTCTTTCTTCCCAAATGGCTCCACCATTATCTTCAGGGCAACAGGGTGTAGACTTGTGGTTAAAGATGAGCTGAAGAGCCAGTCTCTGCCAGGACAGATCACCTACTTCACCCCTTCAACCCTTCAGTGTCCTATGGTGAGGTGAAGCCTGTCAGAGGTAGGGTCAAAGGCATTCATGTCATTGCCAAATGGCCTTGATTGAACAGCAGAACCCAGATTACCTGGACCCTGCCTCAGGAGCTCCTAGGATTAGGAAGACAGGAAATAAAAGCAGCAGGAAAAAATGGAATGTGACTCCAAGGAGAAAAACCTGAATTGGAACATGGGAGAATGGAAGCAAGGTGATGAGAAGCCAGATGGAGCCAGAGAAGGATGCTGTTTGTAATGCCTTAACCCCAAGCAGTCTGGTCAGGTTCTGTCTGGCCTGTTTTCTCCTCCAGACTGTTTAGTGTTGCAGTGGAACAGCCAGAACATCACTCTGAATTAGAGGACAGGAGATGTTTAGTCATATTTTAGGACTTGGACCTGAGCAGTTTGCCTCTCTGGGCTCTAACTCTCCACTTGACCTTCTTTGTCAGTGTGATTTGTAACTGCCCATTTTGCTTCTCTAACCCATTTATTGTAAATGCTAAGTGAATGATTTACAGTCTCTAACTCATTTACTAGAAATGCTAAGTGAATGATTGCATATTCAAGCCTATTGCATATTGTACATTTTGATACAGGTGTAAAATTGTATCTTTGTTGCTAGCCACGAGCTATAATGTGTGAGTATGAAGCAGCTGTGAGCGCTGAGTGTGAAGCAGGGAGAAGGAAGTGGGGAGCCCTAGCTCTCTGGCATGGCTCTCTCCTTCCCTGTGCTGTTTGTAGTAGGACCTTAAACTTTTTCTCCTTTCTTTCTGCAGAACTCGCCACAGTCCACATGATGAATATACAGAGAAAAACTTACCAAGACCTCTCATCAATGCAGGTCAGAACATTTCAGAAGTGAAAGAATTTTGGCTTCCTGTCTCTTCCCAAGTTCTTCTTCTTTTTTTTCTTTTTTGATGAAAAATTCACAACAGTGACTAGTTCGGTTAAAACCTGGATCTGTTGTGCCCTTTAACTACCCATTCTATGTAATTTTAGGATCAAGTTAAGTTCACGTGTCCATAATATCTGGCCAAAGCCTACCTTATGAGGGAGTCTATTTTCTTCTACTTGACAACAAGAATCCTGAGGAAATATAATACTTAGGACAAATGTATAATAACTGAATAGAGGGAAAAAACAAAGCTTTCGAGCCTTTATTTTGTCTGTGTTTTTCATGAGACAAAATCTTCAAAATGGGCCAAGGTTGAGGGCATAGTGTTAAGGAGGAGAGGAATTGGGACTAGTACAGAAGTGTGAGGTTTCACAACTGAAGAGGAGTGGGCACTATTTCACTGACGGTCATGAGCAGGAGTGTGCATAGATTGCAGAAATGTACCGGCAAACAGACATGTTGCTCGGTGCCTGTGGAAGTTGCACCTAGGCCTGTTCACTGCACGTAGGAACCCTGTCCTGATTGGTAGTTTCCCAACAAGACAGAGTGCCTGAAAGTGGTGAAGTCATCTGGATCTCAGGAGGCTGGAATTAATTCTGCAACTTTTGTGACAAACTTGAAGAAAAAGCAGAAAAAGTGGCAAAAAAAGAGCAAAAAGTGGCAAAGCTCAAAAGCCACAGGCAGAGAAGAAGCCATCCTGATTGACTGTGCTTTATGTGGAAGAGACTTTGGAAGTTACTAGATTGCATGTTCCATCCAAATCAACTCTGTAACACTTCCACTTGCAGGAAGGAAAGAGAGAGAGAGAGAGAGAGAGAGAGAAAGAGAGAGAGAGAGAGAGAGAGAGAGAGAGAGAGAGAGAGAGAGAGAGAGAAAGAGAGAGAGAGAGAGAAAGGAGAAGGTATATAGAGGGATTCCATCCATTGGTTCACTTCCCAAATGGCTGTACCAGCCAGAGCTGGGCTTCTCTGAAGCAGGAGCCAGGAACTTCTTCCAGGTCACCCATGTGGTTGCAGGAGCCCGAGTACTCGGACCGTCTTCCTCTGCTTTCCCAGGATCATTACCAAGAGGATGGATCAGAAATTGAGCAGCTGGGACTCTAAGTGCTGCTGATATGGAACACTGGCTTTGCAGGCAGCAGCTGTACGCACTGTGCCACATTGCCAGCCTTGAAAAGCTGGGTCTTATTGACAAAAATGACACCATTGTTTATCTACACATTTGAACATTTGGGTTTTAAAAATTTTATTCTTGTTTTCATTTTTAAAATTTAAAATTTTAATAGATTCAGTGTGGCGTGTAGATACAATTCTAACAATAATGTAATGCTGTCTCCTGTCTTTCAACCCTCCTTTTGCCCTCTTTATCATCTTTTTTGTTTCTGAGATAACATTTTGAATTTACATTACAGTAAAAAGGGTCAATATTTCACCTAATAGTAAGTTTACCAAGGAGAAAAGCTTCAGTGAAAATAGAGACAATAGCTATGAGCAACAATTGAATGGAAACATATAACTCCTAAAGTAATCACAGACAATTAAAACTGTTGTAGTACAATATTCTATTTTTTTAAAAAAAATCCCCTATTTTTATTTTAGAGGCAGAGTTACAGAGAGAAGGAGAGACAAATACACAGAAAGATCTTCCATCTGCTGGTTCACTCCCCAAATGGTTGCAATGGTTGGAGTTGAGCCAATCCAAAGCTGAGAGCCTGGGTCACATGGGTGCAGATGGCTTGTGCCATTCTCTGCTACTTTCCTAGCTCATAAAGTGGGAGCTGGGTTTGGCAGTGGAACAACTGGGACCAGAATCAATGCCCAGATGGAGTGCTGGTACACCAGGTGGAGTATTAGCCCTTGAGCCACCATGCTGGCCCCTGTAGTATGACAGAGTTAGTCATTGACCTGATGTAGGTACACAACAAAACTTTTCAAAGCAGCATTTGCAGCAATAGTGATACACACAGACATTAATTCCTTTATCTTTCGTCTTTCAAAATTTGGCTTCCACATACAAAATAGAACATGTGGTATTTATCTCCCTGGGTCTGGCTTATTTATTTCAACATGGTCTCCTTAAGTTGCATCCATTTTGGTGAAAATGGTAGAATTTCACTCCATTGTATATATATATACCACATTTTCTTTATAAATTCACCTCCTGCTGAATACCTTGGTTGATTTCAAATTTTAGCTATTGTGAACTATGTTGCTATCAATATGGTGTTGTGGCTATCTCTTTGATTTATTGTGTTCAAGTCTTTTGGACATAAACCCAGTAGTCGGATTGCTGTACCATATGACAAGTCTATTTATAATTTTTGAAGAAATCTCTGCACTGTTTGCTACAGTGGCGATAGCAGTGTGATAGTGTTTCCCTTTGCTTCTCCATATCCTCCGCATTTGTTACTCACTTACTTTTGATTTTAGCCATTCTGATAAGGGTGAGGTACAATTTCATCATGATCTTGATTTGCATTTCCCTGATGGCTAGTGAGGTTGAGCAATTTTTCATATACTTGTTTGCCACTGATATTTTTCCTCCTGAGACGTGCCTATTGAAGTTCTCTGCACATTTCACAACTAGATTTATTATTTTATATGTTATTAAAGATTTATTTTTTTATTATTTTTCATTGGAAAGGCGGATATACAGAGAGGAGAGACAGAGAGGAAGATCTTCCATCCGATGATTCACTCCCCAAGTGAGCCGCAACGGGCCGATACTATGCCGATCCGAAGCCAGGAGCCTCTTCCGGGTCTCCCACGCGGGTGCAGGGTCCCAAAGCTTTTGGGCCGTCCTCGACTGCTTTCCCAGGCCACAGGCAGGGAGCTGGAAGGGAAGCGGGGCTGCCAGGATTAGAACCGGCGCCCATATGGGATCCCGGGCGTGCAAGGCGAGGACTTAACCACTTGCGCCACCGCGCCGGGCCCCGATTTTATATGTTATTAAAGTTTTTAAGTTGCTGGCATATTCTACATATTGATCTTTTGTTGGATAGCTGGTTTGTAAATATTTTTTCTCATTCTGTTGACTGTCACTCTGTTAGTCATTTCCTTGGTTATGCAGAAGCTTCTGTTTGATACAGTCTCATTTGCTGATTGTGTACCATCACTTCACCAATGCCTTAGAGTGTTTGCTCTGTATTTCCTTCCAGCTACTTTGTAGCCTTGGGTCTTAAATTTAGGTCTTTGATCCATCTTGAATAGATTTTTGTTTATGGTGAGAAGTAAGGATTGGATTTCTTTCTTTGACATATATATACCCATCTTATGCTTACACTTCTTGTTGAAGAGATTATCCTTACTCAGCTGCCTAGTCTAAACACTTTTGTCTAAAGTGATCTAAGCATTTTTTTTCCAAGAAAAAATATCTGGATCAATTTCTTGGCTCTCCATTCTGTTCCATTGACATATGTATTGGTTTTTATGACAATGTTATCCCATTTTAATCATGATAGGCTTATAATATGGTTTAAAGTCAGATACTGTGATGCCTCTAGCTTGATTTTCTTGTTCAGCATTGCTTTGGCTACTCTGGGTATTTTGTAATTTTCTAAAATTAATTTTATAGTTGCTTTTTCTGAAGTAATCATAAAATTTTTGTGAAGAATGTCATTGGTATTTTTGTAGGGATTGCATTGATTTTATAGCTTGCTTTAGATCATGTAGACATTCAAATTATATTCTTATGATCCATGTACAAGGACTGTCTTTCCACTATGTACTCATAGTGATTTATTTCATCAATATTTGCTAATTTCTATCACAGATATCTTTCAATTATTTGGTTAAATTTATTCCTAAATATTTTATGTTTTTATGGCTATTGTAAATGAGATTATTTTTTAAGATTTATTTATTTTTATTGGAAAGGCAGATATACAGAAAGGAGGAGAGACAGAGAGGAAGATCTTCTGTCCAATGATTCACTCCCCAAGTGGCCGCAACAACGGCTGGTGCTGTGCTGATCCAAAGCCAGGAGCCAGGAACTTCTTTCCAGGTCTCCCACGTGGGTGCAGGGTCCCAAGGCTTTGGGCCATCCTCGACTGCTTTGCTAGGCCACAAGCAGGGAGCTGGATGGGAAGTGGAGCTGCTGGGATTAGAACCGGCACCCATATGGGATCCTGGTGTGTTCAAAGCGGGGACCTTAACCATTACGCTGTTGCACTGGGCCCGAAGAGATTTCTTGATTTTTGTTTCTGTGAGCTCCTCATTAGCATTCAGAAAGCCACTAATGAATCTATATATTTTGTAGGCTGCAAGTTTATTGAATTTATCAGTTCACAGCTACTTGATAGGCTGTGGGATTTTTCTATGTAAAACACCATGTCAGGTGCAACATGGATAATTTGCTTTCTCTTTTCAAATATCATGCCCTTAATTTCTGTCTTCCCCTGAATTATTCTTGCTAAAACTTCCAGTACTAAATTGAATAAGAATGGTTAAAGTGGATGTATTTGTCTTGTTCCAGATATGAGGGAGATGATTTCAGTTTTCCCCATTTCAGTATGATGTTTACTGCTTGTTTGTTAGATATAACTTCTGTAATTTTGTATAATGTTCCTTCCCTACCTAGTCTGTAGAGGTTTTTTTTTTGATTATGAGTGGATATTGAATCTTTTCAAGTACTTTCTCTCCACACACTGAGATGACCAAAGAATATTCTTCATTCTATTGTGCTTTATATTTATTAATTGCAAGTATAAAACCACTCTTGGGTTTATGGGATAAATCTTACTTAATGATAATGCATAACATTTTTCATGTAGTTTTGTATTCTGTTTGCTCATATCTTATTATGTATTGTTTCATCATGTTCATTTAGGATGTAGTCTGTGCATTTTGTGTCATGTCTTTGGTTGGCCTCACAAAAAGATGTTTATGGGTTTCTATCTTATTCAACATTTCAGAGTAGTTTGAAGAGATTTTCAGTTATTCGCTCCTTGGATTATTTTGTGGAATTCAGTAGTAAAGCTACCAGGAGCTTCCTTGATGGAAGACCTTTAACTATTGCTTCAAGCTCTTGGTTTCATATATGTCTATTTAGATTGTATTTTCTTCATTTAATTTTCATTGGTTACATGAAATTTATCCGTTTCCTCAAAATGTTTATTTGCATATTGTTTTTAGCTTTTTACAATCCTTTGCATTTCAGTGGTGTCAGTTATAATGTCTTCTTTTCCATCTCTATATTTTAGGGTATTTTCCCCCCTTTTTCTTTGTTAATCTAAATAGGCCAAATAGCAAATCATATTGGACTAGAAGGAGGAAGTGACTAGAAGATCCTCTAGATCCTGGCAAGGTGGACAGAAGAACGTGTATGGGGATTTAGGGTCCTGGGAATTCACATTTAATAGGATTCAGTATTTTGTGTGTTCATTTGCTGAACATTTTTAATCCATCCTCTGCATCAGATACTTTCTTCTGAGACTTCTGATCTGCTTGCGCAAGTCAATGATGGACCATATTGAAATGACAGCTGATCTACAAAGCTTGGACAAAAGGACTAGCAAAACCACATGAGACATAATGATACTGTAAAAATGGGGAGAGTAGATCTCAGGGTTTGTGAGCAGAGAGGATTCTCTTAGAGGAGAAGTGACCTCTGAGCTCTGGACTTTATGATTCCCTTCTATGCAATGCAGGGCTTCTGAACTTTCTCACTTACACTTCATCTCTTCAGGGTTCTAGTCCTATATTGATGACAGTATACACAGCAGCATCTGCTGACGTGTGGGGACGCCTCCGTCAAACTTCTGATCCACAAGGCAAGTGCTCCCTTGTCCCTTTCTTGAGGAAACACCCAGACGAGATAGCACTGGGTTGATGTTTGTGCTCCTTATTGGACATGATATCTTTAGGGGCAGTGGGTCTAAATCTGACACATTTATGAGCACCAAGTGGTTAAGTAGATAACTCAGAGACTCATACTTACTTGCAGGGAAGTGACAGCACAAACAAGCACCTCAGAGGTCATTGTAATTGAATTATAAATTTTAGCAGGGTTTCCATTGGTGAGTTTCTTAAGGTATTTTGAACAAATATGAAAATGAAATAGAATTGTGTTGAGTGGAGGTCACCCTGGAAAATTGTTGATGATCTTTCAAATGGAGTTGGAAGAAAAATATTCCTGATGCAATAATTTCAGATCAACCACTGTCAGAAATTAGTATGAGGCACAAACAAATGTTTCATACACAGTTTGTTCTATGGAAAGTAATATCTTCCTGAAAATAAAAAAAACAGATAAAGTAGTACATACCTTTGAGTTATAAAACTGGAGCAGGGGAAAACCCCAGCAATCCTTGCCAGTCAGTTCTGACTGATCTTCATGTTTGGAGATCCTGAGTATTTTGAGTTGTAGAACATTTGGGAATACACAAAGACCTATTAATTCTTTCAAATACTGATTCTTTCCTCCATTTCTTTTTCTGCTTCTGATCTACAGTGCTGATGAAGGATGTGCGTGAAATGTTCAGTTTCAACTTCTCCCTCAACTTCCATATGTTCCATGGTGGCACCAACTTTGGATTCATGGCTGGAGCTAAGATTTTGGATCAGTACTCCCCTGTGATCACCAGTTATGGCAAGTGCATGTTCTCTGGAACTGTCTCAGTTTGGGCCACCTTCTCACTGGTGTCCGGAGGTCATTAGGGTAGGCCTCTAAGGAGCCTATCTTCAGAATGATTTGTTTCTTATGCCTTTAACATGTGCTGGGGTTTGCTGGTTGATGTCTGTTTTTGACAACATTGGAGTTTTCCTACTGCTAGAACCTAGACTTTGCAAGCAGGAAGGGTGGCAGTTTAACCTTTTTATTTTTAATTATACTATCGTACTTATTTACACTATTGTATTGTTTTTGCAACTCTAAGCGCTATTGATTACAAAGGTGTTTATTTTTTGTGTGATGTACATAGTGTAACTTTACTTAAAATTAAAATGCACACAAGATAAATAACAAATATTTTTCCTCCATTGGTTGTCATTATAACACTGGTGACCACTTATTTTATTTTTTAAAGTTATTTTCTTTATATAAGGTACACACATTTCAAGTGTTTCACATATACAGACTTAGGAGCACAGTGATAATTCCCACTCTATCTTCCCATCGGTGCCCTTTACTCTCCACAGTTGTTTATTAAAATGTGCTAAGAGGCCAATGGCAATTGAACTCTATGTTCTTTCTTTTTCTTCTTCTTCTTCTTCTTCTTTTTTTTTTTTTTTTTTGGAAAAACTGTTAACATTAACTCAAACCATTTTTTTTTTCCAAGCACATTAGATCCTCTCTTTCCAAAATAATCAGGCTCTGGGGAGTGATTAAAACTCTGGCATCTTTATTTAGGGAAAGTTTCCCAAGTGATAGCATCATCAGATACTACTTTAGGAAACGCGCATTACGTTGCAGCTAAAAAAATAAACCAGAAAAAGTCAGTTTTGCAGCTTATCAGTTCTCAGCCACAAGGCAGATTTTGGAAGTGGTGACTGGTACATAGCTAACTGCACTGTAGAGATTATTTGATGAGTCTTCATGTTCTGCATGTTTCTGACCAATGTCATGCAGCTGTGAAACAGTATATCCCTTATTCCTTTGGCCCAGATGCTTTGTTGAGTCTGGTATCAATGTGCAGATCTTGAGTCCCATCTCTTCCAAGAGGGTGCGTGTTGATGGTGGACTCAGGTCATCACTGTGTTGATGGAAGGGTAGACCTTGCTCATCTTCCTTGTAGAAGCCATCTTGTAAGGACCAAGTCAAAAAGCGACAGTTTAGTCTTGTCTACCAACCATGCAGCTCCTTGGTCCTTGAAGCTCTCTGCAGAACCACTTTGACTTTCCTGATAGGAGCAGTGTGTGTATATGTGTGTCTTCTTGAAGTCCACAGATCTACTCAGAGAGCAGATGGGAAGCTGAAAGTGAAATAAAGACCTTCAAGCAGAGGGCCTTGATTTTCAGCTGGGTGTTTTATAGACCCATGGTGTGGTGCTAACTGTCTGCTGTTAAAAGCAGACCATCCTTGGTTAGAATAACTGGCATGTGATATTCTCTTGCTTAAATACCTAAGCTTCTTCTCCCCAAGCTGCTGAATTAAATATAATTTTGCTACTAAATTCTCATTTTTTTTCTTTATGGAAGAAGCGGAAGTAGGTTTTTCCTGGGTAAAATGATAATTGTCTCTGTATTTTTCAGACTACGGGTCTCTGCTGAGAGAAGGTGGGGAGTACACACCTGAGTACACTGTGTTTCAAGACTTTTTTAGCTCTGTAACAGGTACTTAGCAACACTTCAATATGAATGACAACTCAGTTTCTCAAAGGGTTTCTGTCCTGTGAAGCAGGGAGGGAGTGGGTAGAGCGCTTCATTTTGGAATACATCTAGCTTGCTCCCGTCTATTTTATCATGAGGTACTAGAAATTCAAACTTGCACAAATGCAGGATCTGCTTCCCAGGTCGTCAACACTAAAGGCCAAGTTATTTAGTCTTGGCCATGCATTCTAATTGTTCACGAAACTTTTAAAAAGCGAAGGTGTGAAGCCCTTGCCAGAACTGTTAGATTAGCTTGCCTTGGTGGTGGTGGGATGGAAGGGGTGGTGTCAAGCCCACTAACCTTTAGAAGATTCTGATGAGCAGCTGGGACCGATGAATGGTCTATCAGGGGTTTGATATGTTCCCTCCTCCAAGTAGGGCACCCTAGGGAAAGGGTATGTGGGTACCCTCAATCAGTCACTGCCTGCTGAATAACTTCCTGTAATTACAGAACATGCCTGTAGTCCTTATTTCTAGAGAGAGTTGGGCTTCTGTTGTTCCTGTAGGTGATTGGGAGAGGTTTGTGCAATGGCCCAGTCGCTTGTTTTTCATTGCAGTGTTCCCCAACACCAACAAACTAGAACGTAAGCGGAAGCTGCTATACAGGTCATTGACATCATTCCACTTCGTGTCACTGTGGGATATCCTGCCCTATCTGGAACAGGTGAGCCTTTCTCAAGCATAGAGACATGGGTTAGCCTTCATATAAAAAGGTGAGAAGACCAAATCTTAGCTCGGAAGACATGGAATATATGATGTTGGGAAGGGAGAGGCACAAAGCAGTCCTTTGGATTTTTGGTTTCTTCCAGTTTCGCAGTTCAGAATAGGAAATTCAGAAGAAGAATTCAGATTAGAATATTAACTTTTGAGCAATAACATAGACATTACAGGAACCTAATAACAACCCCTTGCCTTTTAAATCTGATGACAATGAAAAAATGAGCTAGGGTTATGGTTTTCAAACTTTTAAGTGGAGGAGTCCCAAACTGAGTGTGGCATGCAGTGTGTGAAACGTGAATTGGGTGAGTCAGCGTCTTGTTCTGTGCTTATATAATTTTATCCTCCTTCAGGCTCAGCCATCCCTTTCTAGGTGGCCATTTCACTTCCAAACTTCCCTCAGACTTCCCAGGCATGCAGTTTGAAAACTATTGGTCTAGAAAAAAAACCCTTCATCCTTAGTGATGCATCGTTTAACACCTACTAATGTTTTGAGAACTGTATTTTCAAGATCACATTTTAAGCAGCTTCCAGGTTAATGAGTGAGAAAGTTGATTGAAGTGGAGTTAGAGGATTTCATGTGCTGGGTGTTGGGGTGGAGGACTGAGGCAGTCCTCCAGGACTGTCCTGTTGGGGGCACTCCATACTGTGTCGATACACACAAGCTCTGGACTTGGACCATTGGGACCTCAAGTTTTTGTTCCAGTGTTTATCAGCTGTGAGGCCCCACATACCCTGACTAGCAATTGTCCCTACTTCATAGGATTGCACGTGAGTTAAACAGTGAGTGTCTGTTCCTTAGCACTTAGCTCTGGTTATTGTAGAGATGCGATCAGAAGGCTGGATGACCACCAGGCCCCTCGTAATATTCTGGTTGAGTTTATTTTGAAATGGCAAGCGTGGATGGGAGTTGATGGGCTGGCAGCTGTATGAGCAGGGACAGTCAAAGAGTCTGACACTGTGCTCTGTGGGTAAAGTCATGGAGCAGCTGCGTTCCTGGGGAACTACAGATCAGATTTGAGGACAAGATCTTTGTGGAAATTGTTGGAAATAAAGCTGGAACTTCATATTGGATGCCTTTGCGGTGCTTAATATTTTCCTGTGGAATTTGGGAATTGGAGGAAGTAGTGAATTCCCAGGTGCAGAATGTCCACTTCATCAGTACATGCCTATTCTGTGTCATCCCTGCTCTCCTCACCCTACTCTTTTTGTTTGAAAGATTTATTTATTTATTTTGCAAAGTCAGATATACCAAGAGGAGGAGAGACAGAGAGGAAGATCTTCCATCCAATGATTCACTCCTCAAGTGACCACAACAACGGCCAGTGCTGCACTGATCCGAAGCCGGGAACCAGCAACCTCTTCCGGGTCTCCCATGTGGGTGCAGGGTCCCAAAGCTTTGGGCTGTCCTTGACTGCTTTCCCAGGCCACAAGCAGGGAGCTGGATGGGAAGTGGAGCTGCCGGGATTAGAACCGGCATCCATATGGGATCCTGGCACATTCAAGGCGAGGACTTTTAGCCGTTTGGCCATGCCACCGGGTCCCCAAAATTAACTCTAAATGAATGATGGATCTTAGTGTATGGCCTGATACCATTAAATTACATGAGGAAAACATGAGGGGGTCTCTTCAAAACACAGGTGTAGGCAAAGGCTTGGAAAAGACCACAGAGCATAGGCAGTTAAAGCAAAAATAAACAAGTGGCTTACAGCAAGCTAAGAAGTTTCTGTTCTGAAAAGGATGCTGTTAGCAGAAAAAAGGCAAAAAACAAATGAAAAAAAAATGTAAACTACAACTGATAGAGGATTAATATCCAGAATCTATAAGTAGTTCAGAATCCTCAGCAACAAAACAATATAGTTTTTTTTTTTTTAAGATTTATTTTTATTATTTTTTTCATTGGAAAGGCGGATATACAGAGAGGAGAGACAGAGAGGAAGATCTTCCGTCCGATGATTCACTCCCCAAGTGAGCGCAACGGGTCGATACTATGCCGATCCGAAGCCAGGAGCCTCTTCCGGGTCTCCCACGTGGGTGCAGGGTCCCAAAGCTTTGGGCTGTCCTCGACTGCTTTCCCAGGCCACAGGCAGGGAGCTGGAAGGGAAGCGGGGCTGACCGGGATTAGAACCGGCGACCATATGGGATCCTGGGCGTGCAAGGCGAGGACCTTTAACCACTTGCGCCACCGCGCCGGGCCCAACAGTATAGTTTTGAAATGAGCAAAATACATGAGCAGCCATTTTTCCTTTTAAACTTATTTTGTGTTTTAAAAAGATACATTTTTTGGTATTGATGTTATTTCCCCTTGACCTCCCCCCCTACTTCCTTACTTTCCCCTCGCCATTTTCTTCCACATTATTACAATAGTATAATCCTTTAGTGACAGTTACAAGTTGAACATTCTGCTATTTAAGTACGTAATAGAATTTTAAACATAGACAAAGATAGAACATCTAGTATCATATTGCCAAGGTATATTTAACTGTTTTTCTTGGATTTTTCCTTTTACTTGGGAGTAGAAACGCATACTGCAATGTATCTTCATTCCCCAGTATGCTAGTCTTTATTATATGATTCGCCTACAGGAATATATGTATATAATTGCTTGCCTATGCATCTATTTGTTTTGTATTTTGCATGAATGTTCCCTTATATCAGAGAGAACATATGATATTTCTTCTTTTGGGATTGATTTGCTTCACTGAGCAGAATGGTCTCTACATGGGGCCATTGTGTTGCAAATGATAGGAACCTATTCTTTTTAATGGCTGAGTACTGTTCCATGGAGGAGATGCACCACAATTTCTTTATCCATTCGTCTGTCGACGGCCATCTGGGTTGTTCCCATGTCTTCACTGTTGTGGACTGTGCTGCTACAAATATTGGATTGCAAATTACTTTCATGGTTATACCTAAACATAAGTTAGGTAAGTATAAATGAGACAAATCTTTAAAAATGTAAACAAAATACTATTCACTTCTTAGATTCTATAAAAAGACAATATATTTGGATTTATTAGCAAATATATTTTCATAAATTGTATAACAAACATTTTGAGACTGACTCGAAGACGTAAGTGGAAATCCTCTGTACTCATTTTACAGTTATTTTTATTACTGTTTTTCATTGTTGAGTTTTGTAGCTGTAGATCTCCCACCTCCCCAATCTATTTCCTCCTTCCACATGCCACCCACCTCCATTTTCCTCATATTATGTATGTAGTTCTTCAGCTGCAGTCACATTTCAAATCCTCTGCCATTTACATGTATCATAATATTGTATGTATAGGTGACGGAAGAAAATCTAGTATCAATTGTCAAGGTGTGTGTTTGGCAGTTTCATCAGGCATCCTTCTTATTCAGGGACAGAGATGTATACTGTACATTATTTCCCGGTTCTCTAGTCTCCATTATACAGTTTGTTTAGGAGAATATATGTATATATTATTTACCTATATACCTATTAGTCTTTCATTTTGCATGAAGATTGCCTTGTATCTTTTATCAGAGAGAAAATGTGGTATTTGTTCTTTTGATACTGGTTTATTTCACTATGTGTAATGGTCTTCTGTTGCGACCATTTTGTTGCAAATGGTCAAATTTCATTCTTTTTAATGGCTGAGTAGTATTCCATGGATATGTGCTACAACTTCTTCTTCCATTCTTCTTTTGGTGGGCATCTGGGTTGTTTTCATATCATCACTATTGCAGATTGTGCTGCTGTAAATATAGAATTACACGTCCCTTTCTCATATGCAGATTTCATTTCCCTTGGATATATCCCCAGGAATGGGATAGCTGAGTAATGTGGCTGATCAATTTTCAGTTGTCTGAGCATTTTCCATCCTGACTTCCATAGTGTGTGCATTAGTCTCCGTTCCAATTAGTGCGGTAGAGTAGCTTTGTTCTTTACATCCTCACCAGCAGGTGTTGTTGGATAATTTCTGTATGTAGCCATTCTCACTGGAGTTAAGTGGAACCTCAATGTGGTTTTTATTTGCATGTCTCTGATAGTTACAGAGCCTGAGTATTTTTTGTTATGTCTCTTAGCTATCTGAATTTTTCTTTCGAAGCATTCCTGCTCATTTCCTTCACCCACTTCTTAACGGGGTTGTTTGCTGTTGTTGAGATTCAGCTCCTTGTAAGTCCTGAATTTCAGTCCCCTATCTGTTGTGTAGTGTGTGAAGATTTTATCCCATTCTGTTGATTGCCTCTTTGCTTTGTTGATCATTTCCTTTGCTGTACAGAAGATTTTTAGTTTGATGTAGTCCCATTTGTTTATTTTGGTTTTGACTGTGAACAGGCATTTTAAGAAGGATGGAATTTAACTGACCAAGATATATATATATATATAAACTTTTAGGTTCACTTTCTATCAGAGAAATGAATGTAGAAATCATTGTGAGGTTTCACTCATCCCAGTTAGAAAGACTGTCATCTGAAAATCAAAAACCAATAAATGCTGATGAGGGTGTGGGAAAAACAGTACTGTAATCCATTGTAGTGTGACCATTATGGAAGACAATATCGAGATCCCTCAGAAATCTGAAAATAGATCTAGCATATTACCCAGTGATTTGACTCCTGGGAATTATCCAAATGAAATGAAGTCAGCATGTGAGAGAACTATCTGTATTCCCATGTTTATGGCAGCTAAATTCCAAATAGCTAAAAGAGAGACCTAGCCAGTTGACCATTGATGGAAGACTGGACAAAGAAAATGTAATCTATATACATTATGGAATACTCCTCAGTCATAAAAAGATCTCAGTCTTGTCTTTTGCAATGAAACGAATGCAATTGGAAACCATTACGCTTAGTGTGTTACCTGAACTGGGGTAACTAGTAAGCAGAGTATAAATAAAGCAAGAGGCAATTAGTGTTTACAGTTTTGGCTTATACTCCTAAGGAAGAATAGGTTTTTAAAATTTTCTACTTGCTATGTATTGATATCTTTACCTAATGAAGTGTTGAGCTAATTTTGAAGTGAAATGAAAGTATGCTGTTATAAAATTAGAAAATCAAAGAGTTAAAGGATGAGGATTGTGAGTGGGGAAGGCAGGCAGGAAGTAGTGTTAGATGGGACGTATCAACATGCTCCTGATTCTCTGTTGTAAAATGCATGGAAATTGTTCAATTTATATAAATAAATAGATAGATAGGTGGATAGGTTTGTTGTTTATCTGTTTGCAAGTGTATTTATTATAAATAAATTATATTTATTTTTATTTGAAAGGCACAGTTACAGAGAGAGAGAGACAGAAGGAGAATGAGTTTTTCTTTCCACTGGTTCACTTCACAAGTGGTCCAAACTACAAGATCTCCAGGGCTGGGCCAGGCTGAGGCCAGGATACAGAAACTCCATCTAGATTCCCTATGTGGTTGGAAGAGACCAAAACACTTCAGCTATCTTTTGTCACTTTCTGAAGAGGATTATCATGGATCTAGCTCAGAAGTGTGCAGCTGGGACTTCCAAGTGGTGCTTGGATGGGATGCTGGTTTTGTAGGCAGCAGCTTAATTGATTGTGCCACAATGTGGCTTCTGTTTCTGCCTTTGTAATTGATCAGTGGGTTCAGATTATTTATGACTAACTTGTTCATTGACAATTTCCCTACCAGCTTTTACCCAACTGGTTTCAATAGCCATCGACATTGCCTATAACCAGTATCTCAATAAAGCCTTTGAAAATTTGTATCACCGTAACCATATTATTGATTTTTAAATTTATCTTGATTCTTATATCAGGAAAAACTTCCCTTTGCAAATTATCTTATTATCCTTAAGCAAGTTTAAATATTTTCTTTTATCAGGATAATAGAATTACTTGCTGGTATCTCCCAAAGGTAGTCAATGAACTGTTTTTGCTTTCATGTGATTATCAACTCATCAATGATTAGTGTCTTTACTGTTGTCACCTCCCCACTGCAGTCTCTTTTTCTCGTTCAAGTTGTTTCTACTTAGACCAGCAGGAGCCCCTGCAAGTTGGCTGGTGTGTTCCCCTACATGCCTATAACTTTTGATGTCTTTATGTTTTGGTTCCCCAGGATTTTCAGACTGCATGGCTCTGCTCACCCAGAATTACCAATTTTTTTTTTTTTCACTTAAAAAAAAAAGTTTCAAAGGCCACGCTTTCATGCTAAAAAATGTGGACACTTTCCTGGAGATTAGGTTACTGTTTTTGAGCAGTGCTGACTCAGATGACAACTTTGCCATCCTTAGTGGCTCTGTAGTGTGGGGCCAGGCCAGAGTGACGGAACCACACAGATGCCCAGTGAGTTTAGGTTGTAGGAACAAAGAAGCACCAGTGACATATATAAAGAAGGTAATGAGTGGTGGACATGGGACGTGGAGGGGGAGGGACAAGATACCTCCTACACTTTCTACCTGTCTGTAGGAGTAATGTTGCTTATCCTAAAGGAAAAAGAGTGGGGTGTAGAGTGTTGTCGTTTAGACAGTTTATGAGATACAGCAGCAGAAGTGTCGATGAATGTTTTTAGGTGAAGATACAGCAGAGATGAAGAGGCAGACCTGGAGTACATTGGATCAGGACTGGATCACAGGGTCTATGAATGACCATAGCTAATATGACCAAAGCCAGAACTACTCTCTCAGGTGTTCTGAAGAGGAACAATAGAAAAGGCCAAGGATGGAGAAGACATGACATAGCTGGGTTGGGATTGCCGTGACAGACTCTTGTATGTATTCAGCCAGGCCAGTACATCATTCTCTCTCTTTTTTTTAATCTTTATTTTTTTTAATTGTTAATAACATTGTATTATGTGATACAGTTTTATAGGTGCTTGGATTTCCCCCGCTCACCATTCTCTTTTTTTTGACGTCAGCTGTACCATCTATGTACCAAAATTCACTGGTCAGCACAGAGAAGTATTGGGTTGGATTGTAAACCAAAAAAGGCAATTTATGTGGTAAAATTCAAGTGTGTTTCCCATTGCATATTTATTTTTCATGCTCCTTTTAGCAGGACTCATGGGTCATCCTTTTCAAGTGGGTATTCTGAGGGTTTCCATGCAGCCTGAGCCTTCAGCCTTTGCTTACTTCTGTCCCTGACACAGCCAACCAGGTCAATGAAGCCCATTTCCATGGAGATGCTGCCCGTGAATGGCAACAGTGGCCAGGCCTTTGGGTACACACTTTATGAGACTACTGTGTTGTCTGCAAACCACCTGGATTCCAGGGGTCACGTTCAAGATCGGGGCCAGGTAAGGGCCAATTAGTAAGGCTCAGTGTCAGTTGTCACTTGGCTGTGTTGCTGAAGTGAATGTCTAAGTGATATATCTTCTTGAGCTTCAAACGTAGCTGTCTTCATACTTGTGCTGTGCTGTCCATCTAGGGTACAGAAATACTCTGGAGAGGCACCTGCTTCATGGGAGCCAGTGGTGCACTCTGTTTTGTAATTCGGTGTTTTCCAAACATTCACTGAGTGTTACAGCCATCACTGTTACCTAATTTGAAAACATTTCATTATCCTCAGAGAAAGACTATTCCGATTAGAAGTCAAATCTCAATTCTACCATCTCCTAGTTCTTGGTAAGCCCTAATTAACTTCCCATCTGTATGGATTTGCCTTCCTGGATATTTCATATTTCATATAGACTGAATTACAAAAGAAAAGACTCCCCCCCCTTTTTTTTTTGTTCAAGGAAACATTCTCTTTTGTGAAGTATGCCTGAACATAATACACATTTCATTATTTCTGATAATGCTTTTAAGTTTATTTACTTATTTGAAAAGAAGAGGGAAAGAGGAGGAGGAAGGGAAGGAGAGAGGGAGAAAGCGAAAGAGAGACTGATGATGTTAAAGAGGCTTGGGAAGAACTTATGTAGTGTTGTATTGCTCGATAGTCTCTCATGTTTACATGGTATATTTTAGCTGGCCCCTCTCATGTAACTTAAATATCCGTCTGAGATAATGATAGTAAATAACGAAATCTGAGAAGTTCAATGGCTTTCAAAGTAAAAGAGCAAAAGCTAAACCATCATCTTCTCCAAGTTCAGAGCTGTTTTCTGTAGGTGTTGATAAAGTTTCTTGCTCTTCCACTTTGGGCCTCCATCATTTTCTCCCAGGGGTTCAGGAACAAATTGAGCATCCCTAAATTGAAAATTCCAAATCTGAAATGGTCTCCAAAATGTTTTGGATTTCAGGTTTTTAAAAAAAATATTTATTTATTTTTATTGTAAAATCCGATATACTGAGAGTAAGAGAGACAGAGAGGAAGATCGTCTGTCCGCTGATCCACTCTTCAAGTGACCACAGTAACAGGAGCTGAGCTGATTCGAAGCCAGGAGCCTGGAACCTCTTCTGGGTCTCTCACACACTTGCAGGGTCCCAAGGCTTTGGGTTGTCCTCTACTGCTTTTCCAGGCCACAGGCAGGGATCTGATGGAAAGCATGGTGGCCAGGATTAGAACAGGTACCCATATGGGATTCCGGGCTTGCAAGGTAAGGACTTTAGCCATTAGGTTACAACACCAGGCCCTGAATTTCTGTTTTTTTTGTAGAGGAATGTTTAGCTTCTACAGTTTCTGCAATTATTCCAAGATTCCAAAGTATCAGAACCGAAACGCTTTTGGTCTCAAGCATTTTGGGTGAAGAATACTCAACCTGCATTTCTGTTTTTGTGCCTTCAGCCCTCCACTCTCTTAGCTTCAAAGCAACCTTTCTTGCCATTTACAGGGCATTTGTGTTCACTTCGTGTAGGGTCCTTAGGTTTCTCAAATTCATTATAACCCAACACAGACTCCTTAGCTTCCTAAGTGAAGTTCCTGTTGTCTCCCAGCCTCCTGCCTGCCAGTGTGTCCTTAATACTGTTTGTACTCCTTCTTTATAAAGTTCAGCTGGTCCTGTGTCATGCAGAGGAATTCAGTAGTACTTTTTAAAATAACAAATTCAGTTTATTTTTGATGATGTTTACATAGTTGAGACGGATATATGCCCATGTGGACCACCAATTAGGGTGGTATGGTCGAGGAATAGGGGAAAGTGGATGAGACAACTGCCTCCAATCTTCCCCCACCACGCCTTCCCACCCCCAGGGAAAGTGGAGAGAGGAGACAGGACCTCGCCCAGTAATGCAACAGCATCAGTACCCAGGAATGAGAGCACCAGTAGGTACTGGAGCCAAACCCAGTCCACACCCATGCTGAGGGATGCTGCAGCCATGTTCAGTCCAATTCACCACCCCCATTTCAGTTCTCATGCTCACTACTGGGAATCGCAGCCCAGCAGGGGTGTCCTCTTAGTTCCCCAACCAAGCTCATTCCCAGACACAGTTCTTGGGCATGCCAGTGATTGCTCCGACACAGCTCAGCATAACCTATCACCTAGGTTGGCCTTTGCCATCAGATGCTATAACTTGGCTTGGCCTTGCCATTTCCCAGGCCTAACTTTTGCTGGTGGGTATTGTAGCCTAGCCCTGCCCATCCTGCTCCCATCCCTGGCTTTCATGCTGATCAGTAGGTGTGATAGCCAAGCCTAGCTTGGCATGGCCCACACCCCATCCTGGTTCCCACACATGCCAGTATGCTATAGTTTGGCCTGGTGCTGCAAAGTCTACCCTGTACAGAGCTAACACGCACACCTGTCAACAAGTGAAGCAGTCCTGTCTGGCTTGACCAACACCCAGCCCTGACTTACATGATCACCAGCAGGAGCGAAGGCCCACTAGGGGAGTTCTCCAAGTTCCCCCATCAGGCCCATTCCCAGACCCAGATCTCACATGTGCCAGTGGGTGCAAGGCCCTTATTCAGCAGTCTGCCCCCAAGTGTTGGCTTTTGTGTGTGCTGGTAGGTGTTGCTGCCCAGCCAGCCCTACACCCAACTCTTGAGTTGCCTGTGGGTGTTATAGCCTGGACCAGTCCCAACACTCACTGGTGGGTACTGTTGTTGAGCCCTGCCAGGCAGGCTCCCCAACCATGGCTTTTGTTTGTGCCAGTAGGTGATAGTTGGGATCAACAATCCCAGCTCAGGTCTCACGTATGGACAGGCGTATTGATTTGGCCCTAAAAGGTCCTCCAGTTTACCCCCTCTAAACCACCCAGTCTCAGTCCAATTGTTTACCTCCAAGTGCGGTAGCCAGATTGGTGGAGGTCTCTCAGAAGTCACTCCTCGCCTCTCACGTACTCCTGCAGCAGTCCTCCCTCCTATACATCTCCAGACCTGCTTCTCTGAGCTATCCACAGCCACTCGAGTCCACAGATCCCCAAGCCTGGTCCTCTGGCAGTGTGCCATACCAGCCTTGCCTGCAGGGCCCACGGACACTCGCAGGTGAGTCTCTATACCCTGTCTACTGACGTGCTGACATCTGCTTTCCACATTTATTAAAAAAAAAATAGGTGACTATGCTGGCACACTGGTATAACTACACAAACACACTTGGCATTAATCAGGTTCAGGATGCCTGCCAGATATGAACTACTTTTCTCTGAGCAGTGCAACACTTGCCTAGCTACAAGGAACTGGGGCCATTGCCTACAGCTGATCAGCAGCTCTTTTAACTTTCATGTTGTTGTCACTTCATCCTTGCCCTGATCTTTTGCCTGCACTGTTGCTATTTAAAACCTGATTCCTGACCTTTTGATTTCAGATCCCTCCACCTCATCCTCTGCCCTGTATCCTCTGTGACAGTGCTATCATTTCCTGCAGAGGCATCAGCCTTGTAACTGCACTTCCTCATTTACAGTCTTCTGACACCACTGGCCAGCCGTCCTGATGCCTGCACAGTCGCTTGGATTCCACAGATGGTCAGGGCTTGCTATATCTTTCTCTGTGCATCTACTGCAGTCTGTCCTCAGCCCTGTTGCAGCTACTGCAGTGCCTTCTGAGAGTTTCTGCGTAATTCCACGATTTCCCCAAAAGCCAGCATTATGTTTTCTAAGTGACTCATCCCTCAGGACAATATATTTATTTAATATATTTCAAAGACAAAAAGACACAGAGAGACACCTTACATAGGCTGGTTTACTCCCCAGAGAGCTGCAAAAGTCAGGGCTGGCCAGGCTGAAGCCAGAAATGCACATGGGTCTTCCACATGGCTCACCACCTGAGCTTTCACCTGCCAGCTCTCAGGGTGTGCTTTAGCAGGAGTCAAATACTCTGATATGGGATGCAGTTATCCTAAGCAGCATCTTAACAGTTATATCAAATACCAGCACCCCTGGGGAAATATTAAGTGATGCTACAGGTTGTGGGCTATAGAAACTCTTGGGATGGCATCATGATATGGTATATTAGGCCTCTGCCTGAGGCTGGTGTCCAATGTGGGCAGCAGTTCAGTTTAATTTCTGATCTGCCTCCCTATTAATGTGCCTAGGAAAACAACCTGCACTCATGGGAGAGACCCAGAAGCAGCCCCCGGCTCCTGATTTTGCATAACCCCAGCTCTAGTTGTTGTGGCTGTTTGGGGAGTGAACTAGTGGATCTCTTCCTCTGTATTGTTTCTTCTCTCTCTGTAAATATGTCTTGCAAATGAAATAAAAAATAAATATTGAAAAACAATGTGTTAGATCCTAATGAACTTAAAATAAAAATTCTGTAGAGTATTAACATTTAAGTTTTTCATTCCTATATATATTTTTATTGTGGCTTCTTATCCAAATTTCATTGAAAATTGTAATCTTAAATAAGACACAAACAAGAAGCAAATTCATACTTTCAAGAAAAAGAATTTATTTGATTGAAAGGCAGAGAGAGAGAGAGAGAGGCAAAGATCTCCTGGTTCACTGAAAATGACAGCAACCAGGCCAAAGTCAGGAGCCTGGAATTTTATGTCCTCCAAATGATAACAGGGACCCAAGCCTTCAGGTCACCATTTACTACTTTCCAGGCAGGATCTGCATTGAAAATCAAACAGCTGTGACTTGAACTGTTACTCATATGGGATACTGATGTTACAGGTGGCAGTTTAACATTACATTACAATGTTTATTTGACTGTCAGGATTACAGAAAAAGAGAAAGAGAGGGAAGGAGGGGGACAGACAGAGAAAGAGCTTGAGTCAGAGGGTGGATCTGGGCCAAGACAATGACATAGATCATAGACAATAAATGGAACTGCACTCAGATCACCCCTAGAACCAGATGGAATTGTGGCAACAGCTTTCTGAATTAAGAGCCCGGGAAATCTGTGTAGCATAGCGATGAGCCTGTGGGGCAAGACAGGCAGACACTGGAACAACTGTGCTACTTGTGACTTTCATGCCTTCCCTTCCACTCCTGTTCACTGCACCCTTCACCTCCCCACCAGCCCGTGCCCAGCAGTGGAACCACAGCCCAGATTTTAAGACCAGATGCTCTTCTGCACATTTCATGCCATGCCTCTTGTCATTGTACTGTTTTCAATAGAGTCTTAATTTGTAAACGGTCTGTTTCTGGCCTCCAGGAAGGTAATCTTTGCTCCAAACTTCCTCTTGGCTTTGTGGAGCTCTGGCTTCTCCTATCCATAAGAGATGTTTTCTTTTTCTTTTCTTCCCCTCCCCTTTACTCTCCCCTTCCTTCCTCTCCTCTCCTTTCCTTTCCTAAGCTTTATTATATTTTAAATTTTGAATTATATGGTATAGTTTCATAGGGTTTGGGATTTCCCTATCCCCTCTCCAAATTTCCCACCCCAACTGATTTTCCCCATATTATTACGATAGTATAGTTCTTAATAAGCAGTCATAAGTTCATCAGTTTATTATTTAACTGTGTGCTGATATTGCTGGTACAAATAATGCCAGACAGTCCAGCATCCTATTGTCTAGATATGTCTAACAGTTTCATTGGGAGTCCATCTTTGATTTGGAGTAGAGATGCATACTGCATTGTATCTTCACAAGTGGATGTGATAGTCTCTATTACACCATCACTATACATTCCCTTAAATGAAAAGCAGTAAAACAGAATCAACAACAGGAATGAAGTTAAAGCAAAATATTTACAGCAGTGTGGAGTCGAAAGATGTGCCATTGAATAACCAGTGCATGAATGAAGAAATGAAAATTAAAACACAAAAGCCTCTTGGGTAAAATGGTGGCATTGTGCTATCCATGAGCCAGCATAAAATTCAACAAAAGAAAAGAAACTATTTGAAAGAAATGAACATAAAAATAAAAAGATCAAAACACATGGGATGCAGCAGAAGCAGTATGGAAGGGGTACTGATGTTACAGTTTGCACAACGGTTTCCTTATATCAGACAGAAGATACGATTTTTGTGCTTTTGGGATTGACCATTTCACTGAGCTATATGGTCTTTAATTGGGACCATCTAGCTGCAAATGGTATAATCTCATTGTTTTTTAATGGCTGAGTAATATGCCATAGAGTAGGTGTACCACAGTTTCTTTAACCACTCCTCTTTGGATGGGCATCTGGGTTATTTCCATGTCATTGCTATTGTAGATTGTGCTGCTATAAATATAGTATTACAGATCCTGTTCTCCTACACAGCTTTCACCTCTATTGAATATATTCCTAGGCGTGGGGTAGCTGGAGCATATGGCAGGTTTATTTGCAGTTTTCTAAGCACTCTCCATACCTATTTTCCATAGTGGTTGTACTAACGTGCACTCCCACTAGCAGTGGAAGAGGGTGCTTTTCTCCCCATATTCATGCCAGCATGTGTTGTTAGTAGAGTTTTAAAGGTAGGCCAGTCTCACTGGAGCTAGGTGTATCCTCAGTGTGGTTTTCATCTGTATCTCCTTGATGGCTAGGGAGCCTGAGCATCTTTTCATGCGCCTGTTAGCCATTTGAATCTGATCTTTTGAAAAATATCTGTTCATTTCCTTTGCCCATTTATTCATAGTGTTTTTTTTCTCTCTGTCCCTGGATTTCCAAAGCTCTTTGTAAATCCTAGATATTAATCCCCTATCACTTGTGTAGTATGCAAAGATTTCCTCCCATTCCATTGGTTGCCTGTTCACTTTGTTGATTGTTTCCTTTGCTGTATAGAAGCTTTTTGATCCTTATACGAGGTTAACAATGTTTTTTTCTTTTTTTGGTAGGTGTTTCTGAATGAAAAATTTGTTGGAATCCTGGATCATACTACTGATAAGCTGACTATTATAAAACAAGTATATAACTCAATGAAATGTTCAATAATGAGCGGTTATGGCACCTGTTGGCTCTGTTCAGTTGAGAGCCCGGCTTGACCCCATTTTATACTCCCTTTAGGACAGCCCATTTAATGTTCCCTTCCCTTTGGGCTTCTCTGCACAGAGCAGCCCAGCAGAGATGAGGGAGAACTATACCTTTCTCTAAGGTACAGTTATACATGGTTTGGGGGAGCAGAACTTTTCCAATTTGAATAGTTGGTGCTCAGAAATCTCAGTGCAGCCTCTGGGGAAATGTTGAGGTGGCTCTCAGAAAGGCCCAGGAACCTGGGGAGTCAGTAGAAGTGGGGGCTCTAGGGGGTTTCAGCCTGCATCCCACGCAGCAGCAGCCTAGCAGGTCTGTGTGTTCTAATGGGACCCACTTTGGATGGTCTGTCTTGGACAGGATTACCAGAACTCCTATCTTCTGAGGATCCTGGTGGAGAATCAAGGCCGACTTTCTTCTGGGAAGGATATCAGTTTGGAGAGAAAAGGTGAGATCCATATAACATGGGCTTGAGACTTACAGGCCTCAAATGCCTGCTGTTCTCACCAGAGCAGGTGGTTTTGGCTTCAGAACCCATGTGTAGAGTCTACAATAACATCATTAAGTCGCTGCGTTTCCCTCAAGCGTGTCCTTTAAATACCAAACCAGGACCAGCACACTGCCTTTCCTTTCTTGGGAGAGTGTGATAGTAGAACACTGTTAAGGTATACCTGGACAATAAAAATGCTTCTGACTTCCCTGGATCTCACTGCCTTCAGGCTGTCCTGAGTCGGCACTCCTGAGGAGGGTTCTACATGCCTTCCTTCTTCTGTGCTCAATGCTTTGACATTCCTACGAGTCAAACTATCCTGAAACTGTGCTGACTATGCCTGGCAGTCATTGTGTTGACTTCTGTGTTATTAATGTACAAGATCCAGCAGCACTCTGAGGTGGACCCTTGAAGGGAAAGAATCAAGGTAGCAAGTTGCAAAAACCCTCAGCCAGAAGATGCTGGGAAAGCACCTCTTTTAGAGCAAGTCCTGGCCGCAGATTGTGCCCATCCCTGCATACTTCTTGTTCTTCTTGCTCCCTTCATATTACTGTTCTTACAGGTTTAACTGGGGATGTCTATATGGACAATCATCCATTAAGAGCATTTACAATCTACAATCTGGAGATGAAAAATAACTTTATGCAAAGGTGAGTGTCTGACTTCTGACTGCAGGTAGGTGAGCAAAAGTGGCAAGTATTCAGATTCAGAGGAGGATCTCAGAGATCACTCAGATAGATCCCCTTGGTTTTCAGATGGGAGAGATGGTGACCTAGAACATTGAAGGAAATGATTCCAAGTTTCATGGTTGTTTGGGGCAAGAGTGGTGAGCTGTGCCCTTCTCACATACATCCTCAAATCACGCTTGCTGCGAATATCCCATGCTACACAGAGGGGCAATGGGCATCATGCATGCTGGGTATACCCCATGCTATACAAAGGGGACACTGGATGTCATGCATGCTCGACATATTTCCTGTTCTACAGATGAGACACTGAGCCTCATACATGCTGGATTTAGCTCATGTTATCCAGAGGGTACACAGGGCATCATGCATGCTGGACATATCCCATGCTACACAGAGGGGACACTGGGTCCAGCAGAGCATCTTTTCTATGAGGTCAGTGACACACATTATAAAAGAAAGGAATGACTGTTTTGCTGGTGTTTGACTCTCTCTTAGGAAACTCCCCATGTTGTGGAGACCAGTCACAAATAATGTTAAGGGACCTGCCTTCTACCTTGGTTTTTTGAGAGTTGGTGTGAACCCAAAAGATACTTACATTAAACTTGAGGTTAGTGATATTTCCTTGTCACTTTCCTCCCACCACCTCCAGAATACCTTTAGCCTACTCTCTGCTGTTACCCTCTGTGACGCTGTGCCTTGTTTGGGGTGAACAGATATAACAGATTCATGAAAAGTAGGGACGTGTGGAGCACCCACTGCATGAAGAGCTTAGTACCAGATATCAGACCAGATGTGGAGACATCCGCATCACCATGGCCTCATCATCTGGCCTGTGATTGGGCTGTTGCCGGTGAGATGTCAGGTCACATTTGCCACCACACTGGTTTGCAACACCGGTTATGCTGTGGCCTTGCGTGCTTTAATGAACACTTCATATATATGGGAATTCCCTGCTTGATGTAGATACCCAGGGTAAGATACAAATCAGAACCCTCCTTCCTACAGCCTGGATATTGATCAACCCCTGGCAGGGGGATGGCAAGAGGCTTAGCAGTCATCTCCCATCTGGGCCTCAGCTAATGAGCTGCCCTGTCTGAGTGTGTCTACAACTTGATGTGTCTGTAGTGTAGAAGGTGTGTACCTCCTGACTGTTAATGTTGGAACACAGATCCTCAGCCCTCTCTTCTTGTCTTGTTCAGGGCTGGAATAAGGGAGTTGTATTCATCAATGGGCAAAACCTAGGGCGCTACTGGGCTATTGGTCCCCAGGAAACCCTTTACCTACCAGGATCCTGGCTTCAACCTGGAAGAAATGAGGTAACCTCCCCCCTCCCATGCACAAAGAGTTCTGCCTCCCAGCCTTCAGCCCTTGAACTCAGCCTTGCTCTGGAGGCGAACCTTGTGTCGTAGGGCTTCCCACATTCTTCTTCACCAGATCATCGTGTTTGAGGAATTGGAGCCCGGCAAAGAGATCCAGTTCCGAGAGACGCCCATCCTGGGTATGGCATGCTAAAAGGCCGCCCGCAGCATCTGGGATGATGGGTTGGGCTCTTTCTAGCTGAGACAGAGATAAAGAGGGCAGGGTATGCATGGCCTCCTAGAATCTTGAGTCTGCCTTGCTGCTTTGGAAGTATAGCTAGGCTGTCTCCTGTACTTGTCACATCTTCGCTCATATCTTCTGCTTCCAGAAGACCAAATTAGCCCACTTCTGTGGCACTTTCAATTCCTTCAGCCTCCATTCTAGACATTTGTGTTTTCCCACTGTAACCAATCCCAGTATCTTTTATTTCTTGCTTTTCTGAAATCCATCATGCTTCTAAAGCTCTTTCTCGTGCTACCAATTTCAGTAACTGCGACATACTGTTCGAACTATCCTTTCTCAGATGACTAAAGGAAGGTGTGCACAGACCCCTGATATCAGGTCCAAGTCTTACATAGGACAGTCTGTGCCCACCTGTAACAGATACTTGCTCTCTGTGCACCGCCCCTCCCCCCGTCCTGTTTGGTAGACCTACACTGTCAATCAGCTTGTCTTTCTCCCCATCAGCCACTATATCCTGCTCCTTGAGTAACTAACCATGTGATGTCAAAAGGCCAATTAGACTTTTTTTCCCCCCCAGGATACTGAGTCTTGAGTGTTGTGATGTGAAGCAGGAGATTGAGCAAGTCACATCAACACTGGTCCCACGAGTAGCCTTTCAGTTCTCATCCACAGAGCTCTGCACCTGCTGCATCGTGCGTTGTGCACACTGGCTGCCTGACAGCACAATGGCACTTTCCATTTTTGGGTTCTGTCAGCTCACCTGTCTCTGATGTTTACCACAAAATAAATCTACCAGATGCACACTCTTTATCATGTTCTTTTTTTTTTTATTGTTGCTTACATTATATTATGTAGTACAGTTTTATAGGCGCTGGGGATTCCCCCCACCCCTCCCATACCCCTCCCCCCATGGTGGATTCCTCCACCTTGTTGCATAACCATAGTTCAAGTTCAGTTGAGATTCATTGCTTGCAAACACATGCCTAGCATAAAGTTCAGCGTCTTATTGTCCAGATAAGTTCAGTGGCCTCTTGGGGAGACCTTCTATGGTCTGAAGATAGGTCTAACAGAGTAAAGATCCAGTCAGTTAAAAGCCCCAACAAGGCCTCAGTATCATTATACAACATTATGGAATTAATTGACATAGTATTCGGTAAACAATATGTTAAAAATAATGCAAGTTCCATTCTTCGAAACATCTGGGTTGAGACAGTATCAATGACAGGTTCAAAAAATAACAAACCACCAAACAAAAAATTACAGGTTAAATCAAGGCAAACATGTGATATCTAATCTTTTGGGATTCGCTCATTTCCCTTAGCATTATAGTTTCCAGTTGTGCCCATTTAGCCACAAAGAACTGCATTTTGTTTTTTTTAATAGCTGAGTAGTATTCCATGGAGTAGATGAACCAAAGCTTTCTTATCCAATCTTCTGCTGATGGGCATTTCGGTTGCTTCCATGTTTTTGCAATTACTGATTGTGCTGCAATGAACATAGGGATGCATGTTGGTTTGTCGTAAAACAGGTGTTTTGGATATATTCCTAGGAGTGCTATTGCTGGGTCATATGGTATGCTGATTCCGAGTTGTTTGAGTGTTCTCCAGACTGATTTCCATAAAGGCTGTACCAATTTGCAGCTCCACCAGCAGTGGAGTAGGGTTCCCTTTTCCCCACATCCTCGCCAGCAAGCGTCGTTGGTGTTCTTGTTTATGTGGGCCAATCTTACTGGTGTTAGGTGGTACCTCATCGATGTTTTAATTTGGATTTCCCTTATTGCTAGGGAGCTGGAACATTTTTTCATATGTTTGTTTGCCATTTGGACTTGTTCCTTTGTGAAATGTTTGCCCATTTCCCTTGCCCATTTCTTGAGTGGCTTGTTTGTTTTGGTTTTTTGGTTGTTTTGAAGTTCTTTGTATATCCTGGAAATTAGCCCCCTATCGCCTATATCGTGTGCAAAGATCTTCTCCCACTCTGTGGGTTGCTTTTTTACTTTGTTGATTGTTTCCCTTGCTGTACAGAAGCTTCTTAGTTTGATGAGGTCCCATTTGTTTATTCTGTTCTCAACTGCTATTGCTTTTGGTGTCCTTCTTAGAAAGTCGGTACCTACTCCTAGGTCTTGCAGGGTATTTCCTACATTTTCTTGCAAGAGTTTGAAGGTTTCTGGATGTAGGTTTAGGTCTTTTATCCATGTAGATTGGATCTTAGTGTATGGTGATAGATGTGGGTCTATCTTTTTGTTTCTACAGGCTATCAGCCAGTTGTCCCAACAACATTTACTAAAGAGTCCTTCCCACTTGCTTAAGCTGTCATTAGTCTTTTTGTCAAAGATTAATTGGCTGTATTTGTGTGGGTTCCCTTTTGGTGCTTCTATTCTATTCCATTGATCTTCCTTTCTGTCTTTGTGCCAGTACCAGGCTGTTTTGATTACCACTGCTCTATAGTATGTCCAGAGGTCCGGGATTGTGATTCCCCCTGCTAATTTCTTATTTTTCAGGATGGTTCTAGCTATTCGTGGTTTTTTGTGTTTCCAGATGAACTGTTGAATCATTGTATCCAGTTCCGTGAAGAATGTTTTGGGCAATTTGATTGGAATTGCGTTGAAAATGTATATTGCTTGTGGTAGTATAGACATTTTAATGATATTGATTTTGCCTATCCAGGAGCACGGGATGTTATTCCATCTTTTGAGGTTTTGTTCAATTTCCTTTTTAAATAGTTTGTAGTTTTCTTCGAATAGGTCTCCTACACTTTTGGTTAGATTTATTCCCAAATACTTCATACTTCTCTCTGCTATTTTGAATGGTATCCTGTTGGTTAGATCTTCTTCCATCTTGGTGTTATTTGCATACACTATGGCTGCAAGAAATCATCAAAACAAGGGAGGAGATAAACCAAATAGAAATCAAAAAAACTATACATAAAATCAACAAATCAAAAAGTTGGTTTTTTGAGAAAATAAACAAAATAGACACTCCACTGGCCCGATTGATCAAAAAAAAACAAGAGAAAGTGAGAATCAACAGCATTAAAGATGAAAAAGGCAACATAACAACAGACACTGCAATCATTAAGAAAATAATTAGAAATTACTACAAAGAACTGTACTCCCACAAATTTGAGGACCACCAAGAAATAGAAAAGTTCTTGGACTCCCACCATTTACCAAAACTCAGTCCGGAGGCAACTGCAGAATTAAATAAACCCATAACCGAGGTAGAGATTGAAACAGTCATCAAGGATCTCCCAACGAAAAAAAGCCCAGGCCCAGACGGCTTCACTACAGAATTCTACAAAACATTCCGAACAGAACTAACCCCAATCCTCTACAAGCTCTTCAAAACAATAGAGGAGGAAGCAACCCTCCCAAACTCATTCTATGAAGCCAACATCACCTTAATCCCAAAACCGGATAGAGAACCATCAGAGAAGGAAAACTACAGACCTATTTCTCTGATGAACATTGATGCTAAAATTCTCAACAAAATCCTAGCCAATAGAATTCAAAAAATCATCAGACAGATCATTCATCCGGATCAAGTAGGATTCATCCCTGGAATGCAGGGATGGTTCAACATTCAGAAATCCATAAATGTTATAAACCATATCCAAAAACTGCAAAACAAGAACCACATAATAGTTTCAATAGATGCAGAAAAAGCTTTCGACAAAATCCAACACCTCTTCATGCTAAAAACTCTAGCCAAAGTAGGCATAGATGGGAAAATCCACAACATAATTAAAGCAATTTATGAAAAACCCAACGCCAGTATCATACTGAATGGAGAAAAGCTAGAACCCTTCCCACTGAGATCTGGAACAAGACAAGGGTGCCCACTATCACCACTGCTATTCAACATAGTCCTAGAGGTACTTGCAGAGGCCATAAGACAAGAAAAAGAAATCAAAGGCATACGTATAGGAAACGAAGAAGTCAAGCTTTCACTATATGCAGATGACATAATCCTATACATAGAAAAACCAGGAGACTCAATACAGAAACTGCTAGAACTTATACGAGAGTTTGGCAGAGTGGCGGGGTACAAAATTATCATGTTCTTTAAAAAAATTATCCATTTACTTTTATTTATTTTTTTCTATTTCTACTGTGATTAAAAGGAGAATGCTGATGTTGTTTTAATAAAAGTTGCTTGTCCACCAAACAAAATGTTGCAGAAAATGACTGGACATCTTTGGTGTGTAAGCCTAAAACATATTGATGTTTTCAACAAATCAACTAAACGATAAAATTTTAAAAAGCTCAAAGTGAATGCAGAAATTGGCAGGAAGATCACAGTGCTTTACATTTTCACTGGCCATTTAAACAATCGTTTTCCTTTTGCTTCCCGTGTTTATTTTTATCCATTGATTTTCCTTTCATGGATGAGACTCAGTTTCTTTCTTTTTTTTTAAGATTTATTTTTATTATTTTGTTATTGGAAAGGCGGATGTACAGAGAGGAGAGACAGAGAGGAAGATCTTCCATCCGATGATTCACTCCCCAAGTGAGCGCAACGGGTCGATACTATGCCGATCCGAAGCCAGGAGCCTCTTCCGGGTCTCCCACGCGGGTGCAGGTTCCCAAAGCTTTGGGCTGTCCTCGACTGCTTTCCCAGGCTACAGGCAGGGAGGTGGAAGGGAAGCGGGGCTGCTGGGATTAGAACCGGTGCCCATATGGGATCCCGGGCGTGCAAGGCAAGGACCTTTAACCACTTGCGCCACTGCGCTGGGCCCGAGACTCAGTTTCTGTAAAGAATATTCTAGCAAGCTTATCTCTCTGTTATGTTCTGGCACCTCATTCATATCCCCTGTGAACCACTGTTCTACTCCTATTTTCCTATGGATGTTGACACAGCAAGGGCCATTGTAGGCAATTATTTAAGTCTAGAGTAACATAGGGTTACCTGGCAAGCTTCCTAGAGGGTAGGTTACTGCTGAGATTACCTGATGCAGCCTTGAGGGTCTTACCA